CCTCAGCCAGCTCCCATTTGCCTGCCTTCCAACTTGCAACCAGCCAGGAGGGGAGCCCTCGCTGTCAGCTTCCACCTCTGTAGTCACTGCGTTGCCCTTGTACAGTGGTGCCCCGCAAGACGAATGCCTCGCAAGACGGAAAACTCGCTAGACGAAAGAGTTTTCCGTTTTGGAGGTGCCTCGCAAAACGAATCTGCTATGGGCTTGCTTCGCAAGACGAAAATGTCTTGCGAGTTCCTGGGTTTTTTTTTCCTTTTCCCCCTCTTTTTCTAAGTCGCTAAGCCGCTTATCTGCTTATCCGATAAGCTGATAAGCTGCTAAAAGCCGCTAAAAGCCGCTAAAAGCCGCTAATAGCGCTAATCCGCTAATCCGTCAATGGGCTTGCTTCGCAAGACGAAAAAACCGCTAGACGAAGAGACTCCCAGAACGGATTCTTTTCGTCTTGCGAGGCACCACTGTATAACTCAGCAAGGAGGATGGGGGACAGGCCTAGAATTAGTCAGCCTTGCCCAACCTCGGCTTTGGCTCCGTCTACTGTCGGGCACCCTGCCTTCTGCCCTACAAGTCCCAGTGGGTGTCACAGCCACCTGTGTTTGTATCCCACATGTATGTACCTCAAGGGGTAATTTGAAGAAACATATACATGGCTTATTTATTACCGGAAACCACTCTTCTGAAAGTATAGAATCTGTGCCACATGGGCCCTTGGAGAGAACAGGAGTCAGAGCATGAGCGGTTTGATGAACTTACTGTGCGATCCAAATGTCCTATGAAGTAGGACCGTCTATGTTAAAATGTGTAAATAGATAGCCAATAGATTGTCAGTGGTGGTAGTGCAGGGCCCCCAATTCACATACAATGTACCAGGCCCAGGAAATCCTGTTGGCATCCTTGAGCATATGCAGAAGGTTCAGTCACTGGCATCATCATTTAAAGCTAGTGGAAGACTCCTGTCTGAAACCCTAGAACATGGGTCGACAAACTAAGGTCCGCGGACCGGATCAGGCCCAATTGCCTTCTGGATCCAGCCCGTGGACGGTCTGGGAATGACCACATGGATCGCCAGCGTGCACGTTCTTTCCCTCTCCCTCCCTCTCCCTCACATGGCGGTGGCGGCACCTCCCTCCCTCCTCCTCCTGGCTTCTCCCCACCCTGCCTAGAGGAGGAAGGGGGCTTTGCTTTGTTGGTGCCAGCAGCAGCAACGCTCAAGCGGCTGCCATTTTAAGCAGCCCCTCTCTGGAGCCCTTTCATGCGCCGCTCATTGTCCCACTGCCCCCAGCCCCTGCCGCTCGCAAGAAACAGGAGCCGCGGTTGGCTGAGCGCCCCTCTCGAGCTGCCATTTAAAGCAGCTCCTCTCCGGACCCCTTTCACGTGCCACTCTTTGTCCCTCCTCTGCCACCAGCCCCTGCCGCTCGCAAGACACAAGTAAGCAGCCACCGGGGCTCATGGTGCTCTTACATCATTTTTTTCTTCAAAATATAGTCCAGGCCCCCACAAAGTCTGAGGGACAGTGGACCCCTGCTGAAAAAGTTTGCTGACCCCTGCCCTAGAACATCAGTTTAGATCATGCAGAGCAAGGTGGACCAAAGATATGACTCTTAGGGTTGAAGCAGTAAAAGGGGAAAAAATGTTTTGGGATCAATATTCAGCCTCTGTAGTGGAAGTACTGGAATTGCAATTCTTTGGATTGTTCTTTGGCTGTGTCAGATGTTCAAAAGCAAGTTTAAATGAAGTTACAAAAGCTAGTTTTGAGCTGTGGATCAGTTCCTATCTGGTGAAGTAGAGGTCTGTATAGGCTCTCACAGGCTCATCCAATGAAGTTTATCCAGGGGCAAGTTTGGCAGTATTTTGCCATATTGATACTGGTGTTTCAAGGTCCCTTGATTTTGAAGGCTAGTGAAAAAGACAGAATGTGGAGACTTTATCCTGGATGTGAACTGAGCAAAGGTACAAATTCAACTAGGTACATTTAAAAATATTTGTTTTTTAATTGTTTCTGGCGTAAAATAAGTTTTGAAGTAATTGAATTTTGTTTATCAGAACAAAGTGGAAGAAATATGTTAAATGCTCGTGTATTCGAAAGTTACATTGTGGAGAATACAAACTCACAATCTGAGACCCACACCAGGAGGGGGCAATCTTTCCTATCACTGTCATGCACACCAATTTGAGAATAAATGAATGTCTGGAGCAGTATATAGAATATTGGGAAGGGGCTTTACTGTATTATCTTAGAAATATATTCAATTTACTAACCTAACCTTCCCTGAAATTTTGCCTCCAAATGTTTTACCTAACTTTTTTTCCAACTGCAGGGGTCTTTTTTACACCTTTCTTTTTTTTAGAATAGTTTTCGTTCATTTTTAAAGCGTTGTATTAAAACCAAAGAATATAAATTAAAAAGCAAACATGGGCTAAGTAAATGACATATATTAAATTGTAGCACAACGCTAAAGTGTTTATTAGTTAGAGACAATTACATATTATTTATTCTACTATCGTACTACAGCAGTATTATTTACGTCTTTATCTAACAATATTTATGTGCCACTTGGTTATAATAAAAGCAGTATAGAAGAAATATTATAATAATCAATAAAAAGAGTTAAAAACAATTAAAAGATTTTAAAATAATTAAAAGTAACAGTAAAAGATTAGAACATGTTAACGTTTACATGTCTGGATAGACTTGCGTAAACAAAAATGTTTTAAGTACCGTATATTCCGGAGTATTAGGCGACTAGGCGTATAAGACGACCCCCCAAATTGGCAGCTGCCAATTTGGGGGGTTGACTTATATGCCCAGTCTTATACGCGGCAGCTTTGCTGGGCAGTGGCAGTGGGCAGAAGGCTCCATGCTGGGAGGAAGCTGCCCAGCAAAGCTGCCCAGCGAAGCCGGCCTAGCATCGCTGGGCGGCTTCCTCCCAGCGCGGAGCCCACCGCCCACTGCTGCTGCCCAGGGAACCCATACTCAGCGTATAAGACGACCCCTGACTTTTTAGAGGATTTTCTGGGGTTAAAAAGTCGTCTTATACTCTGGAATCTATGGTAGGCTATTTTCGGAAGCCGAACGTCCAATGCGGCTTCTGCGGCTTTCGATTGAAAACTGGAACGGATTAAGTCCGAGAACCAAGGTACCACTGTATTTAGGTATATTTTGTGACACCTGTAACAGTGCCAGTAGCACAGATTAAGTGGTAGGGTGGGCACATATTTTTTCCAAGCCAGATTGCAATGCAGGAGACTATTTGAGGGCCAGGAGGGAAGGGTTAGCCTTCCCAATCCTATACACTGCAAATTCCACCGCCTCTGGCTGAAAATGCTGAACACTGTAAACCATAATATGATGGTATATTATATTGGATCCTTTTTTTATTATTGCACATTTTGCATACACATACACATCTTATTGTGGGTGGGTGTTAGATAACTATCAATATTTTAAAATGTTGTCTGTATGTACAGCTGTACATTTATATGATAATCCAGTTGTTTATAGTTACCTGCCAAAAACTTGCACAAGCAGCTTACTCCAGAAAATCCAAAGAATGGTATCCAGCTAAGTCCTACTCAGTGAACCCATTCAAATTAATGGACCTGTGAGTCATGTTATTGTTAATGCCTCTGCTTTGAATAGGACTAATGCTGTATACAACCCAACAGATTTAACACAACTACGGTAAGTGAGATGGAAAAGGAGAAGGTCCATGCACACACTTTGCTTTTCCAAAAAAAATTGAGTAAAGGTCAGATATAACTGAATTAATCTGAACCTTGAAAAGTACATAAAACTAAAAGAGGAAGTAGGGAGGAGTGTTACTCTTCCAACTTCCCCCTTCAGCTCTATTAACTTATTAAAAGATAGCAGCCCTACTACCTTATGATCAAGGAGGCAGTGAGTGTTGGGGCTCAAGAGGCTTTGTGGACACTAGCAAAGACTTCAAGGGTAGTATTGTGCCCACGGGCACCACGCTGGTGACCCCTGGAGTTCTTTCCACAGATACATGATTACACATATATGCGCTTAATTATAGTGGACATATAGTTGTTGCTTTCTTTGCAGGGGAAAAATATGTGTGGAAGGGCACTCACACAGTGTTATGCAGATTCGGCTTTTATTTTCTCATGTTTGTGCCTCCTGGAACCCAAGTGAGACCGATGTGGTGCAGTGGTCAGACTAGGACCTGGGAGAGCAGGGTTCAAATCACCCCACTATATCATGAAGCTCACTGGGTGACCTTGGGCTGGTTACTGCCTTTCCACTTAACGTGCCTCATAGGGTTGTGGGGATTAAATGAGGAAGAGGAGACACATGTATGTTGCCTTCAGCTCCTTAGAGAAAAATGTGGGGTATAATACAGTAAATTAATAAGTGACACCCAGGAACACTGACCAGACCCTGACCCACTTCAGTCGGTTGTTTCTCATCAGACCCATAGCCTGGGGCTTCTTCTGTTAAGTGCTTTCTCATTCTCTTGTATGAAACTTTGTCCACCGGCTCGAGCCCCCCACCCCCACCCTACAACCCTTTCACCCCCACAAAAACAACAACTAGGGAGAGCAGAAGCAAGCGCAAATTCATTCACAGAGCCGCCCTACCGCACGTCTCTTTCTCGCAGCCTCGAGGTCTATGAACCCAACACTTTACCCTCCCCATCGCAGCTCTGGGCTGCCTGCCCCCCGCCCGCGCCTTCTTCTGTTTCCCGGTGTGTGTGTGTGTGCGCGCGCGCGCAGGCGTGTTATGTCTCGCTTGCCTTTTTGCAGAGCGGCTCGGAGGAGGAGGAGGAGGTGGAGGAGGATGAGAACAGAGCCGGAGGGAGGCGGCGCCTGTTCCTGGAAGAGCTCAGCCTGGGGAGTTGGTCACATTCTTGGCTGGGATTCAAGAGCTGAGGCAGACACCAACAAACAGTGAGGTGGGGGGGGCGCGGAGGGGGAGGAGTGCACAGCCAGCCAGCCAGCCTTGCCTGCCTGCCTGCCTGCATTAGCTCAGCTCTGAAACACCCTCAGTCTGGGCTGGAGCGTGGAGTTGGGAGGATGTGAGCTGCCGCGGCTCCCACATTGAAAAGGAGAAGAGGCGGAAAGCAAAGCCAGCCAGAGAGAAAAAGAAAGAACGAAGCAACTCTTTAAAAGAAAGGAAATCTTCTCTTCCCACCCCCACCCGCAGTTTCAAGGGACCACGAGTAGCAGAGAGAACAAGAGGGGGCGAAGAAGGAAGGAGACGCCTCGCTACAGTAGCAGCCGCCTCGGAATTTTGGAAGGGGGGGTTTAATTTTATTTTTTTATTTTTTTTTGCTTTGCCTCACACTACATCATCCCGCTTCCGGAGATCGACCTTCCATATAAAAATACACACACACGCACATTATTATTTTCCTTTTAAAAAACATTTTTTTGGTGGACATGGACAGAAAGGAGCTGACTTCCCCGACGCCAGACGCCGACGCCGCTGCTATTTGGACATCTTTCAAGACCCTCTGGTGCTATTGACTCTCTTCAGCCCCCTTTCCACGTTGTTGCTACAGATTTATTAGCAATTTTTTTGAGGGGGGGAGGGAGGGAGGTTGATCGGTCGGTTTTGTGTGAGCCTCGTGTGTGTTTGTGTGAACTGAAGACTGCTGGCTTGAATGGAGGTGGGAGGGCAAGCTACTCTTTGAGAAGGCAGTGCGCTTTTTCTTTTTATAACTTTTTCCTCTCCCCCTCCCCGAAGATATAAATATTTTCCCCCTGGATTGGCTCATCTTTTGCTCCAGTGCATTTAGAACAACAACTAAGAACCCCAAACTTATCGAGGGGGTGTTTGGAAAAGCGGACCAAAAGTAACCCACCGGGAGGAAACGTGTTTTTCTTTTTTGGGGGGGCGAATAATATGAGATTCTTGAGTGGCTTCCCTCTCTCCTTCGCCGTCTTCAATGGACAACAACAAATTTAAGAAGAGCGGCGTTTCTCGCCTTTAAAGGAAAAGAAAAACAGAAGCCTGGAAAAGATTTTAAGCGAGGTTCGGTTTAGTTTTTTCATTGCCTTTGGTGAAAAACCTAGAAAGGAGGAGTTATTATTTTCTTATTGTTGTTTTTTTAAAAAAAAGGAATAAAAAGGCGGGAGACCACCACAAAATAACCTAAAATGGAGACTGTAAGGAGCAGCTTCCAGCCTCATCCCGGCCTGCAGAAGACCTTGGAACAGTTTCATCTGAGCTCCATGAACTCGCTGGGTGGTCCAGCCGCCTTCTCTGCGCGCTGGGCGCAGGAGCTGCTGTACAAGCGGGAGAACGGCAAGGAGTCCTCGTCCTCGACGTCCTCCTCGGCGGAGCCTGTGCTCCACTTGCCGCCGATCCAGCCGCCGCCGGTGATGCCGGGGCCCTTCTTCATGCCCTCAGACCGCTCGACCGAACGCTGCGAGACCGTCCTGGAGGGCGAGACCATCTCGTGCTTCGTGGTGGGCGGCGAGAAGCGCCTCTGCCTGCCGCAGATCCTGAACTCCGTCCTGCGCGACTTCTCGCTGCAGCAGATCAACGCAGTGTGCGACGAGCTCCACATCTACTGCTCCCGCTGCACGGCGGACCAGCTGGAGATCCTCAAAGTCATGGGCATCCTGCCCTTCTCGGCGCCCTCCTGCGGGCTCATCACTAAGACGGACGCCGAGAGGCTTTGCAACGCCTTGCTCTACGGAGGCGCCTACCCGCCGGGGCGCTGCAAGAAGGAGTTCTCCGGGAGCCACCACGGGGCCGCGCTCGAGCTGGAGCTGACCGAGCGGAGCTTCAAGGTATACCACGAATGTTTCGGGAAATGCAAGGGGCTCCTGGTGCCGGAGCTGTATAGCAGCCCTGGCGCGGCGTGCATCCAGTGCCTCGATTGCCGGCTCATGTACCCGCCGCACAAGTTTGTCATCCACTCGCACAAGTCCCTGGAGAACCGGACTTGCCACTGGGGCTTCGACTCGGCCAACTGGCGAGCCTACATCCTCCTCAGCCAGGATTACTCCGGCAAAGAAGAGAAAGCCAGACTGGGCCAGTGCTTGGATGAGATGAAGGAGAAGTTCGACTACAGCAACCGATACAAGAGGAAAGCACCCAGGGTGAGTCCTCTTGGATTTGGTTTTGAGGGATCGGCGCTTAAATTTGGGGATGGGGTCGCTAAAGGATTGGGCTCTTAAAAACTCTGCCGAGATTGCTTAAAAAGAAAGAAAAAAGGTGTGTGAACTTCGGTGGCAAGAGTAAGGGTTGCAACTGTACAAACTCTGCAGCTAGATACTTGGTGCACCTCTAGCATCTATTATGCGTATCCAGTGAGACCTACTTCTGAATAAAAATGCAGATAGAATTGGCTGCATATTTTACACAGTCCCACAGATAGCCACTTTGCCTGAACCATGTAGTAGGATCCCGGAAGGGATCATATATAATCTCTTATTGGACTCCCACCAGTCTGTGGTTCAGGCGATAACTGTTTTAAATAGACCTTGTTCTCTCAGGGATTGGGAGCTATGTAGCGAGAAGGCACTGCATGCTCACTGGGAAATAAGCCTCATTGTGTTTGACTGGGCTACTTCCTAGGTAAATGTGCATCTAGCTGTAAGAGTCCCACATAACTCTTTCTGAAAGGAGTGATGTGTGTGAGAGAGCAGCTGGAAAAACCTGCTGCATTCACCTCAAGGATGCTTATACCATGCATGCAAACTTTGGTGAAGCATGGCCCAAGGTGTGCAGACTCAGAAGTGAGTCCTATTGAATCCAATGGGACTTAGTAATCAGAAAAGGATCTTAGGATTGTACTTCTAGAGAATAAAGAACTCTGTCAGACTTATTTAGAAATAGAAATAGGATTGTGCTGATAGGTTCTTAAGGTGAATCACATTGGGCTGTTTTGTCCTTTTTTCTTTTCAAACAGTCTCAAGGGAGCTGGCTTTTTCTTTTGAAATATATCCTTTGGTTTTTCTTATTTTGGGATATATTTACTTCTGTAGACTAGCAGGGCTCTCTACTGGACTTTAACTGCAGCAGCAAAATTGGATTTATTTAAAAATCCTTGTAACCAATCTGTCTTTTTCGGGGGGGGGGGGGAGTCCACACATTTACCATTATTCTGTTCACTTTTCTTGTTGCAAACTTAAATACTGTACATTTTATGCACCTGTTTAAACAGGACAAAAGGTGGCCTACCATATTCTGTCCTTGGGTTTTGCATCTTAACAAACTCAAATAGGTATATGTGGTGCTACAAATAGGGCAAGGAAAGATGAATTGAATGAATGAATGAATGAATTGATTATCTACAGGCAGAAATCACTGGCTTCTATCCTTAGGATTAATCTCAAAACTTGACAAATGTAGCTACGGAAACGGAGAGCTGAAAAGCTTCTAAATGTATTGCATTGGCAGGATAAACAAACACACAACCAGATAAGATTCCAGACAGTGGAGGCTGGTCCATTAGGGCAAATGAGGCACCTCCCCACCAACCTCAGTCTGTCCTCAGCCAGCCCCCACCTGCTTGCTTTCTAATTTACAACTAGTCCAGGGGGTGGCACTGCCTGTCAGATTCCTCCTCCAGTCATTGTTACCCTTGCAGAACTCAGCAGCCAAGATGATGGGGACAAAACTAAAATTAGTTGGCTCTCCCTGTCATTGGCTCTGACCGCATCTACTGTTTGGGCTCCATGCCTTCCTCCCTTCCAGTCACAATGGGCACCAGCCACCACTGATCCCAGGATGTTCCAATCCAGGGTACTTGCAGATGCTGTTGATATATGTGTGCAGACTACATAGTGTATTTTTGGTGCTCTGTACAGTGTTGATCTAGTCCCCCCTCCACCCCTTTTCTCTCCTGATGCTAGTTTGTGTATGGGTTATATTTACACTAAGGAAATGGATGTGAACTGGGACAACTGCTGCAGCAAGCTTTAAAGTATGACAGGCAATTGCGGAGTGTGCCCAGCCAGACAGCTAGGTACTCTTTAATCTGCAGCAGTATTCAGTTTCCAGACTTCTCAAAGTTGGTGACTGGGTGAGAAAGTTGGGAGGGGAGACCTTGTGTTGGCATCAATCCTGGTCAGTGGGGGTACTTATGCTATGGGGTAGCTTGAAAAAAATGCCTAGGGTCAGACAAGACACCTGACTATTCAAAAGAATGCAAGGTGCAGCAAAGGAGAAAGGTCTAGTTAACTCCTTAACTGCACAGACTTTTTTGATAGTCGTGGGAAATTATAGGGTATCAAAGGAGACTCATTTAATACTTATTAAGGGAATGTTCAGTTCAGACTTCTTCCTTCCCTCTCCCCTTTAAACTCCCACACACCTATTTTGGAGAGAATGTGCAAGCACCCACACACATCTGGAGATAAAGGCATGTGCAGCTTCTCCTTTTGGGAAACAGGGTGAATGCGCATACAGACAACAACAACAGAAACCCACCAGGCTTTGGGATATCTTTCCATTCCTGTTTACTTGGCTATTTCCCCTTTCAAAGTGAAGGAAGTAGTTCTTTATTTCTCCTTAGTTCCCCTCCTCCTCCACAGATTCAGCATAAGAGCTATTGTAGGTCTAAAGACCCACATTATTTATCATGTGCTGCTAATGGCTTGTCTGTCTTCAGCTAATCATATGCTAAAAGTGGCAGTTTGGGGCATATGAATGGAAAGTGGAGGTGCACTGAGAATGCAGGGGCACATTTTTTAAAAATATGCATCTTTTTGAAGGCTTGTGGGACAGCGACATATCTTTCCATTATGGGCAGCAGAAAGAAATAATATTTCTGTGCCCAAACTCTTGAGTGTTCTTGCACAACTTTATTTATAGTGTCATATTAGTCATAGCTGTTTGTACATATTTAGCCCCCCCTCATTGTAATGGACTTCCATTTTTATGGTTTTCAGTTACCATATCGATTGTGTTTCTGAATGACTTTTGGATATTTGAAAGAGAATAATGAATTGATTTATGAAAGAAATCAGAAACTAGCATAGAAATTCTCAGTAACTTCAGGGGTGTGTGTGTGTGTGTGTGTGTGTATCGTGTGTATCTGGCCCACTACTTTTTTTTAAGGCATCCAGCAAATTAGTCCAGGATTGGTGTGAAGCTTGAGACCAAATTAAAACCTTGGTCTCAGTGCTAACCATAATACATTGCTTGAAATACTGTTTCCCATCAGACTGAAATAGGCAGCCTTTGCTTTTCCTCAGTTGTGAGGCAGCTGTGGTGGGAAGAAAGCCAGGATATGCATATATCTCTGCCTGTGCCCCAAGAATGGGATGGAGTTGAAATATTATTTCACCTCCCTTCCCATGGTGAGTTGTTTCAAGACTTTTAACTATGGCTAGAAGAACTTGTGTTTTTGCTCTTGAGAAGACTTTGCTAGCAGGTAGGTCACCTGTCTGGCATCCCAACAAAAAGTTGCTTCTCTCCCATTCATTTTTCCATCAGACATAGCCAAAGGGATATTGTATGTTTTGTGCTGTAGCAGATAGCCATGCTGGGAGCAAAACAATAACCACATACAAACACACACAGAGCTGCAGGATTGGTAGACTGTGGCCAGAGGCAAATAACATTGAAATAAAATTGAGGTTGCCTAGGGAGGAAATGGTGGTGGAAACCTAACCAATCTTGTGTTTGGCTGTTTGCATTTACTATGTTTTAAGTTCTGTCTGCATCTCATCCTTAAGCTCTGTGTGTGTGTGTGTGTGTGTGTGTGTGTGTGTGTCTTTTGCTCACAGCTGTCTGCAAATCGTGGGCCTCTGTGGGTTTTTGCCTTGTGTGCCCTGCATAATAATGATGATGATCCTTCTTGGGAGTGTGTCCCAGCTGTTGGATGGGGACAATGTGGATTGTTTGAATACAAAGAGGTAGGGGCGATCCTACCCCGCCCCCCTGGGTTTGTGGGAGTTAGTTGGTAGTAAGATGACTTTATGTGGCTCTCCTGCAGTAAGCTTTGGAGAATAGTTCCCCAAAGTGGACTGTGAGATAAAAAACACATCTGCCTTATACCCAGCGGAAGCTGCAGCTGCCTCACCAACCACATTCTGTCCTCAGTCAGCCTCCTCCTTATAATCTAAAGCAAGTTCAGTGGGTGCCAGCTTCCTCCTCCTCAGTATCACCCCTGCAGAATTCAGCAGGGAAGAGGATAGGGACAAAATCAGAATTAGTTAACCCTTCCTGTCACTAGCCCTGAGCCTACCTACTGTCTGGGCTCTCTGGATTCATTCCTACCAATCACAGTAGATACTAGCCATCACTGCTCTTATACTGAGTCAGACCACTGGTGCATTTAGCTCAGGACTGGTTGACACTGGCTCTCCAGGGGTTCAGATGGGATCTTTTGTCAGCTGTGCCTGTAAATGCCATGGACCGACACCTTGTGAATACTCCACTGAGCCTAATGTCCCTGATGTCTCTTTGTTGAGTTGCTGAAAGCTTTCTGTGGTGGGTCTGTGAGATGCATTTTTCTCCTGCTGCTGGATTCTGCCTGCATATGCAAAAGTTGATGTTGGGCCAGTAATTTGAAGCCCAGTGATATTCTCCCTCCATAAGCAGAGTAAACACACCTCTGACTCCTCAGATACTGAGAACATAGGAAGCTGGTTTGTACTGCATCAGACAACCCATCTAGCTCAGTATTGTCTACACTGACTGGCAGTGGCTCTTCAGGGTTTAGGCAAGAAGTCTTTCTCAGCCCCACATGGAGATGCTGGGGATTGAACTTGGACTCTTCTACATACCATTGAGCTATGGCTTTTCTTCAATAACACAGGGTGACTCTTTCCTTTGCAAGCCTCCCAGATGCATTTGCCTGCCTAAGAAAATATTGGAGTTTGGTGCAATTGTCTGCTGCAAGACAATTCTTGTGCTCACATATTGGCATAATTCTGTGTTCAGTAACACTTGGGACTATTCCACCCATGCAGCAACCCTAGGAGGGGGAAAGGGTGTGTGTGTTTCAGCTTCTTTTGGTACCTCCCACCTTGAGTTTGGTTTCTCCTAGCATGTTATTTGTTTGCATTCCTAGGGCTTAATCATTCCTTTGTGGAGTTCTTCAAATCCCCTAAGCCACATCACCTTTTGGACTTTGTTCTTTTACCTTCTCCCCTGCCCCCTCCAACACATTCATTGTTGAGCTTTCCCTCCTCCCTGTCCCACCCCCCAAGTCTCTAGTCTTTCCTCATCTTCTGACTGGTTCCTGCATCCTTGTCAACTGTATATGTGAAAATGATTTTGTTCAAGAATGAGTTTCACCAGTCTCTTCCCCCTCCTGCCCATCTTGTTCCAATCACAGTCTGTTTGATACATGTCTGCTCTCCTGTATGCTATGTCACTGTGGTGATGAAACATGCTGCTTAGAAGGGGCCTTGTTGGTTCGTAGGCCATGTAGTCCTGGGATCCTGTCATTTGATCTGGGTTGCCATTTGGAACACTACAAATAATTTGACATTCAGTTTGAGGAGCCATGGCTCAGAAGTATAACACATGTTTTGCGTGCAAAAGGTCCTAGGTTCAATCCCTGGAAACCTCTGTTTGTGCTATGGAATTGCAGTCTTTAATGTGCCCTCTAGATATTGTGTGGCTGTAGCATCCCATCATCCCTTACCACTGGCCATGTAGGAATGGCCATAGCTCAAGGGGAGAGCATCTGCTTTGCAAGCCAAAGGTCCCAGGTTCAATCTCTGGTAGGGCTGGGAGAAATTCCCTGTCTGAAAACCTAGACTGAGTCACTGCCAGTCAGTGCAGACAATCCTGTGTGTGAGGCAGCTTTCTGTGTTCACATTTTGCACAATGCGCATGTTCAGTAAAACTATATAAAATCAAGGCTGTTCCTTTCATGCATTGTATTTTTCCTACATGGATGTTGGAGAGGAGGGGAAACAGGTAAAATGTAATGCCTGGAAGTCACACACCCGATTATTTTCCTGTGTACAGTCATTGGAAAACTCTTGCCAGTTATGGCTTTCATCCTGAACACTTTTGTGAAAAAAAACTGTGTCTGAAGTAGCTGTCAGATTAAGGGAAGAAAAGAGGAAATAAGCAGATACACACCTTTTTATGCAGCAGCATTCCCTCAGGCCTGGTGTTCCCTGAGGTAGGATGAATGTTCTGGATTGTCATATGCAAACAAGCACAGCGAAAGTTCCTGCTTCTGTTTCATAATAATAATAATAACAATCCCTCCCAAGCCAGTGAAAGGTGTAGCAGCAAGAGATCAAAGAGCGGAAACCTATTCATGCTGAGGTAATGCAGCTTTTGGAGTGATCTTGTGAGACCATTGAGGCTTTTTGCATTTTGTAGTGGTTGCAATCCAGCCAGCTGGGAATTTGTGGTGGCGGCAGCAGCAAAAAGAACTCCTTGTGCCCTCCAGGGGAAATGACTCTCCACCACTGCAACCTTGGAACTGCTGCATGCCTTAAAGAAGAGATGGTTACACACCTCCACAAAGCATGTGCCCCCCTCCAGTTTTCTTTGTCTTCTGCAAACCAGGCCTTTGTGTAGATGTCTAATTGTGCAGGTGTGAATGTGAAGGATCGTGCTCCTCCCTAGGCTTTTTAGGCCATTGTGGGACAGCAGCTGTGCTAGAGTTTGACTTAGTGTGTTGTCTCCAAACCCAGGATTGTGTTTAGGGTCCCTCCTCCTTAACCATGACCTGTAACCATTGAATGTGAACTCAGGTGACACACTAAGTCAATTCTTGGCTTTATACTACCATCCTGCGATGACCCCAAAAAACCCTGGGGAAGAGCAAAGCAGCTGAGATCTCCTTGGGAGCCATTGTGTGTATGTGCCAAGCTATAGTTTGGCTGAGCATGTAGTGTGAAAGTGGACTCAGTTTGGGGCCTTGGTTGGCCCTGGAGTGCATGCTCTATGTATGCCTGCAGGCATCTGGCTGGTGGCTTGTTGGCATGTATTGGCTGGAGGAGATAGGAAGGAGGAGTGACTGGGCAGCATGCAATATAAGCCAGCCTGTTGCTTAAAAAAAAATCCTCTTCAGTTCTGTGGTGAAGCCTTTGGTCACCCACAAAGTTAGGAAGCATGTGTTGGTCATGGTTCCAATCTGGTATGGTTCATGAATCTTCTCCACTCCTGCCGCCAATTAATAACGTTAATTTATTTTAGCAGAGTAGACTTAGAACATAAATCAATTTGCCTGTCAATTAGTAAAAGCAGTTTCTTAATACGTATGCTTGGCTGTAATTTTTTTTTTAATGTATGGGGGGACCTTGCAATGCTAAGTAAGACCTGTGTAAAATTTAATTGCTTATGTCCCTTTCTCCACATTTTTCTCATGGGGGGAAAGGAAGGCATTTTAATATATATATTTTCAAACCTGAGGAGAAAACATTTCCATCTTTGTACAGGTAAGCTTTGCATTCCATTCTGCTGCCTCAGGCAACTTTTCACACAATGGTCTTCAGTTTGCAAGGAGCCTGGAAAATAATAGGACCAACATTAATACACTGCTGATTTGGGATGGGGGTGGAGGAGACTGTTTTTACATGAAGTGGGGTGGGGGAAACCATGAAGGGCAACTTTTCTTTGCTTACTGGAGGCATGCTGTGTCCCGTCCCCCCTCGCTCTAGGTTTCATGACAAATATTTAAGAGTACAGGGAAGGATAAAGAATCCAGTGTATTTATAAGAGGGGCATTTACTCTAAGTATAGTTTATAAACTGCTTTGACTGGGAAGATAGGATGTACATTCTACAAATAAAAAGTATTATAAGGTCAATATCTAGGCTGTTAGTGGAAGGACTGTAGCGCACATGCTTTTCTTGCAAAAGATCCCAGGCTCAAATGCTGGCATTTCCATGTAGTGCAAGCCTGAAACCCTAGAGAGCTGCTGCCAGTCGTTGTATGCCGCAAACTTCTGTGCAACTTACTTATGCAATTGCAACCTTGCATGCTTTGGCGAAAAACAAACAGAAAGAGGATGAGAGACTGGGGGAAAGGAGCTGTGTGAGATCTCACAAGAGCTTCCAGAGCCCTCATATGACCTTCCTAGAGCCCAGAAAGCAAGGGAGAGGGCTTTAAAACTGCAGGGAAACTTGGCATGGAAGGAGCATTTTAAGCCCTCCACCTTGCTTATTGGCCTATACAAAGGTCACATGAGGGCTCTGGAAGGCCATGAGAGGCTCATGAGATCTTGCTCCCTCAGCATGCCGATGTTGAACAGGCAGGAATGATTGCATGGAGGGAGCAGTTCCAGGGGTCTTCCTGACTTTGCACAATTTTGCCTTTGTGTGCGGGTCCCCAGAACGTAACCTCTGCAGAAGTTTTGGACCTACTGTATTGCGCTAGATGGAACCATGGGACTGATTTAATATAAGGCAGCTTCCCAGGAGAGTGGCAGGCACCCTCACTGTATTGTTTAGAATGCCTGCTGAAAACTTTGTGGTCCCCCCCCCCCCCATTTCAGCAAGCAAATCTAGACACATAATTTACTTACTTATGTTTGTGTTAGTGTTTTTTATCTGTGTTTTATTAATGCTTTGTGTATTTTTAAAAGTTCTGTGGATGTTAGCTGTGTTCTATTGATAATTTTGTTATGCACACCTCTTAGAGTTTTGTGATTAAGCGGACTATAACTTTTTCTAAATGAAAGATGGGAATTCCTCTTCTAAGATGATGCTTGCACTGAGGTGCGTGTGTCTTCTGTAAAAAGAAAGGAAGAATGGTATTTGCATTCAATCATGTGTCCAATGAATGGAAGGCCTCCTTCTGTCAGTGCAATTTCCTTCTGTGAATGGATGCGATACAACCTAGTGTTTTTTCACCATATGCAGGTTCAATCAATAGATTAATCAGCTAAAACGTGTACATTCAATTAAAATTTATTTAATTGGGTAGCAGCTGAGCATTTAATGAAACATTTTTGTTCATATTAGAACACAGCACAACACAACGAAACTACAACAGTGCCCAGTGAATTCCCCACCCCACATCCATGACCCATTTTCTTTACAGAAGAAATGTTCAGAGTGGCGGATTATTTTCCAAACGTCTCTAGCAAAACCCTCAGTGGTTAATATGTATTTTTGTGACTAATAAGATTCAAGCACCAGCACATAATAGTAAGGGCAGTTTCTTGCTACTAATGCAAGAAATGGGTGGTATCTTGATGTGGATTCCAGTGGCATTGCCTGACTAGGCAAGATCAGGCCTGAGTAGTGAAAAGAGTAATCTTTGTGCCTTTCCATACCTCCACCTCCCCCCAACCTCTGCTTAAGTTAGTGGTATCATGTTAAAAGAATAAGGTCATAGACTCAGATTGCTGCTTGGTTTCCCAACCCCTTTTCCACCAGCCAGTTTGTGTAATGTCTGTCTGAAACAGTTGAGTAAGGGCATTGAAATAGCAGACAGGATATCAAGTGTTAGGAAGTCTGGGTTAAGTATAACAGAGGCTCCAGTATATGCTGATGGGTTCAGGAGAGCAATCCTTCCAGATTCAATGACAGGTTAGCTGCTCTTGAAGCGAGCCCCATCTGAGCCCCAGAAGTGCCTGTTGTCTTTCAACTCAAGCATACCCCATTAATTTTTCTGTGTGGTTTATTAATGCTGTGCTCTGCCCAGGGAGGTGTCAGACCAGCCTCCTGATTTTGATCTCTGGACACTTTCCTTCCTCTCTCTTCACTGAAATGGTTGCACAAACTGTAACCTCATCCTCACTCTCCAAAAGGCTTGCATAAGTTTAAGGTGGATTTCCCCCATTGTTAAATTATTCGAGCTTTAAAATAAAATATATTTTAAGCAGCTTTGCTACATTTTGTAGCGCTTGCTTTGCAAGTAGTTTATTATTTTAAATCTTTAACTGGACATCTGAAAGAATAGGGAGGAATTTTTACTTTATATTTGCATTGATACCTAACATTTGAACGTTCATTCCTGTTTAATATCCTCTTTTACCAGAATAGTTTTTTTTTAAATATAAGGCGTAATGGGTTGTACCTAGCTATTATTCACCCATTGAAATTAATGAAACTAAGTTAATAATACCCATTAATTTCAGTGGATCTACTCTGAGTAAGACTAGCATTGGCCCAGTATCTTCTTTTCTCTGGCTGAATTTTGGTGGCTGAATGCACAAAAGCACACAGAACAGCTAGTTTCAGAAAAGTGTTGACATAATCTTGACATAAAGAATCCCTGACTTTGAAATAAGGTTCAGCCACTTCAGGGAGCTCTTGTTTGCTGACTTTTGCCCAACATTTGCCTAGGAGCATTCTTCTAAAAATTAGAAACAAGGATGGAAACAAGTTTTTTCTTCAATATTGGATTATGTCGGCTTTTAAAGTTGTTGGCCAGGATCCAAAGAAGTGTGTCTAAAATTTTGAACTTTTCAACAGTATCCCTTCCACCCCCATGCCATATGGCAACCTGCTTTTGAAATTCAGGGGAGTTTCAAAAGCTGTTTGTGATATGGCACAGGGATCTGTTCAGAGGATGATGGGTGGAAACAAACTCCTGGATGTATACAAAGTATTGAGCTGTGTTTTAATTCTCTCCCCTCCCCGCTCTCTAAATGTGTGATTATACAAGATGGCAATGTCTCAGGCGATTTTTTTTTTAATCCTGCAAAGAAATCAGATGTCCACACTATGCTAATTGTTATGAGGCTCTCCTCTTTATGATCCTTGTGCTAACATAAGGACTGTCCTGCTGGATCAGAACAAATGCCCATCTTTCCCAGCATCCTGTTTCCAGAGTAGCTGGCTTGCTGTTTTTGGAAAGCTCACAAGCAAGGAACAAAGGAGATGGCCAACCCCCGTATGATGTTTGCCCTACAGAGTATAGTATTTGTAAGCACACACTGCTTCTGTAAGGCATGGGTGCCAGCTGCCCATTTGCCATGGGATTGTAAACTCATGGGAGCATGCTTAAATATATTTGCACCTAAACCAGTGATTGGGAACCTGCAGCCTTCCACATGTGATAGGATTCAAACTTCCATCAGCCCTAGCCAGTATGGTCAGTCGTCAGAGGTGAATGGAGTTGTAGTCCAGCAACATCTCTAGAGAGTCCTCTTACCTGGTACATAGGTGGCTGTTAGTTTTTTTCAGACATAAAACTTGGCACTCAGTGATATAGGTTATTCTTAAGAAGCATTTTTAAAGCTGTTGGCTAGTTCAGTGTGCCTCCAAGCTTTGGTAATTGTTCCTGTGTGGATTGAAAATCTTCAGCTGCACCTCATGTAGGGTAAAATAGGTACTGAAATATATTACTTCACCTATGCCTCTATTTGAAATCTGGATGATTCAATGTTGCGTATTTAAACAAGGTAAGTATACTTTATGGCATTTTATTCACTTTGTTTATAACCTGGAGGTAAACTCTTAATTAATAGGTCTAGGAATTAGGAGTCTATCGTAATAATACATTCAACATCAGAAGTATTATACTGCTTTGAGAATTTATTGTGAACCCTATTTTTTTCATATATTAGTGTGGATTGGTTTTAATAGGAAGTCTAGATTTTTATTTCCTTGTCTGTAAGTCATTTCCAGTTCCAAGAATGTGCCATCATTACGTCTCAGTCACCACATCCCAAGCGGGCCCTTTTTTATTGAGAGTCTGTACCGATGCGGTTGAACCACAAAGTTTGAGGTATGGGGTTTTCTGCCTCCATTCAGGCAGTCTCTGAGAAGGACCTCAGCTTGAAACCCTAGCCTCTAGAGCAATACAGTTGAGTTGTGAGGGGAGTCAACCCACTTCCTGCCTTGAGTGGGAAGGTGATGGGTATGTCTCATAGGAACATTGTTCCTGTTTCACTGCTATCTTACCCTTATGGCTATTTACAAATGTGTGCACAGTATCATCATGGCCAGTGGGGAAAGGGATATTGGCAAATGGGAGAGGTTTGGGGATACTGATAATATTCTCTTCTTTCTGCACAAACCTGTGGGGGTATTAAGAGTATTCACTACATTTATCCGTTGCCTTATGTAATCAGTCTCTAGATGATGTGCAACAAGTGATATAAAACAAGAGTGGAAAGAAAAATGTCAAAACACAAACAGTTCAGAATAATAAACAAGCCAAGCAGCAAATACAAGCAGTTTTTTAACATACAAAAACATGCTAAAACAAACTAATTGACATCAAACTGAGTAGAGACTAACATCAGTTGACGTCAAGGTAACACTAACATGTTAAGAAGATATTCAAAGGCCTGGGATAATAGAAAGAACTTTGCTGAAAAGTTGGTTGCCACATGGGTTTCTCTACAAAAAGGAGGCCAACACCAAGCAGACATTCTGAGGCACTCTCTACCTTATGATGTGAAGCAGACAAGGATTCAGGATTGGAGATTTTGTCTTGTTGAACCTGCTTCCCATATATGCTTAGCTAGTGCCAACTTTGTTATCTTTTTGGCACCAGATGAATACCATGTTATTCACTTCTAGTTACCAATATTTACAAATTGTCTATCTGCATATATGTGTTGTAGAGCAGTGTGTAGGAGGACCTACTGGAAGGAATACTCATCTGAAATAGTGTGTGTATGGGGGTTTGATTAGATGACTCTTGGGGTCCCCTTCCAACACTACAGTTCTATGCTTCTATGAAATGAATGTATTTTCACTTAAATGAAGCATTTCTAAGAAATGTTGTTCATTAACAGAAAAGGGTCTCTTATCCCCTGCTTTCTTGATCCACGTTCTTTTCCTGATGCCTACAGTGTGTAAGGCTCCTGTCTCAAAACACTACAGCAACTTTTACTTGAAAATATGCAAGAGATCATTATTCATGGTAATAATGTTGCAGGCTCAGCAGGATGCACAAGGTCCAGAATAAAGATTACATGGTTTTATCTAGTGCAAGTCTTATTAAACCCATTGAAATTAATGGATATGACTAATTTAGGCCTGGTAATTTCAATGGATCTACTCTGAGTTGGATTTAACTGAATAAAACCCGCAACTGTCCTTTCTGCTGTATAAATTTATCCATGAATGCATGCTTGGGGCTTTTGACAGAACAGAAACAACTGAAATGTGATACTACACAAAGAAGGTTAACTGAAGGAATCTCTGCATTTTTAAAAAATCTTTCCTTCATAACTTGAACATTAATTCATTTTTAAATTGTTCCATTTCTCTTCTTTGTTTGAGTGGATTAAAAGTGTGACAGGAAATTAAAGGAATTGAGAATAACATATTAAGCATTTATAAGTGTTCATAGCGTTTTTGCAGACTCACACCCCAAATGTAGTTTTTTGAGTCACATAAACCATGGTTGGTTGCAACCGTGTAGGCTCTTACACATGGAATTTTGTGCGTAGTTATGTTTGTGTATGGAAATTAGAAATTGTCAGGGAAGATGAGAACACAGATTCTAGCAAACCATTATTTCTAATAAGCCACTGTTGTTTCTGTTGAGTATCTTATCACAATGGCACATACTACATTTGCAGTATTCTTGCAAGGCAACATCAATAAATATCTTGGAATCTGTTTTAATATTTAAACTGGAAACCTCCTTCGCACTCTCTGTCCCCTTGCTCCCTAGTCTTTTCCCTATTAAGTCTAAATAGGCTTAGGATCGGGGATAACCTAAAATATGCATTAGTAAACTGACATGCCAGTTCTGCATTGCATAATGCAGAGCTGAGCAACCCCACTTGAGTAGTTGAGAATCCATGAATGGAACTAAACAGAACTGTTAATCTGGATGAGGGGAAAAAAAAGTCTTTTCACACAAGGAGAGGTGTTGTTTCCACATGAAGCATCTGGGGATTTGGGGCCTCTCACCCAGCTGCACTATGTATATGAGGATGCCAGATTCATACATTTGGCTGTGTGTAAAATATCTTGGCTCTTTGGGGATAGCTTACACTTGTCAGTCAAAGACCTTGAAAAGAGCCCCTTCTATTTGTGTGCCTGTATTCGTTTGTCAGATTTGCATGAAAACAGCTCCTTTGTTACTCAGAAGAGACCTGTGGTTATTTAGGCTCTCCCTAGTCTCACTCCTCTGAAATCATAATCCTCTGTGACATCACAATTAGTTGCCACAGTGACCATAGTGATGTCACAAAGCAAGGAAGAAGAGTAGTGGTAAAATGATCTACTTCCCAGCCTCTGGGAGAGATGTGTGTTTTTGTGTTAAATCCCCCAAAGGGGGAGAGATTTAGAACTTGTCCAGAGTGTTTTGCAGCGAGGCCCCATTGGGTGAAAATTCCCTGCACTGGATTCCTGCAAAGACCTTACCACAATGTATAACTGGTTGCCAAATTTGCTCTGTTAATTATAATGGAAGACCCTCAAGGGGCCTATTTATGTTTTGGCACCAATCACCATTTGGAAAGGTTGCTGCTAAATATTTTGTGGTCAATTGCAAACCAGAATTTGCTTTCTTGGGAAAACTCCCCCCGCCCTACCACACTCCTCATCTGTTTATAGAAGGTTGGCACTGAACAATGCCTTCTCTGAACTGTGAGGTTGCCATTACCAGATTGGCGTTTCCCCCCCTTCATTTGGATGCAGTCTTAAACTTTGCCTCCCCTCCCCTTTCCCCTTCCAGACTCTGCACAGCCTCAATGCATCCTGGGACTTCCCTTTTGCTGAATGACCTTCTTGTGTGACAGGGAGGAAGCAAGGTCCCACTTGGATTGATAGGAGATAGGGAGGAGAGGAGGCAGTCAGCAAGGGAGAGCAAACCAGCAGGCATGCAGTAGCAAAGGGGACATCCTGCTTTGTACACAGACTACAGCAAGTGAGAATCAGATTTTGTTTTTGTTTTTTACCATTAGTGCTGCCCACAGCCAGTCCATTAATAAGGCAGTTTTCTGGAAAACCAGAGCTGGAAAACCAGAGCAAAGAAGAAAAAAAAAGGCATGTTAATGCCTGCTGGGAGATGAAAGGGCATAACTCATTAAACAAACACCTAACTCATTTCTCTGGAAGATTGGAAGGCATAGACCCTAACCCCAATCTTGAGAGTGTTGGTTTTAGGATGGCGTAACACCATCAACTTCAAACGATTTTGCTCTTGATTTACATTGGAGCGGTGTCTGAATCAAGCCTTGAGATGCAATCTCAGACCTTTTATGTGCCTCTTGCCATTCCTTTGCTCTGGCTGAGAAGATTAGATGCCATTTGTGCAACAGCAGAGTTAGCAATGAGGTATTTTAAATCCTTTTGTGGAATAGAGGTGGTGGTGCAAACATTTCTCACTGATTGCCAGTAGGAACCTTGTGTTTTCCTCCATTGTATGCCTGTCTGTGGGTTCTGAATCAGGTTTCCAGCACAGTAGGAACATAGGAATGTGCCTAATACCAAGTCAGACCATTGGTTCGCCTAGCTCAGTATTGTTAAAACTGACTGCCAATGGGAGATGCCAGGGATTGAAACTGATACCTCCTTGCACGCAGAATGAATCCTCTACCATTGAGCTATGACCATTCCCTGTAGGCTGAGGAAAGTGTGCAAAATGGGTAGGTCCTAGTGTTTCAGAAAGCAATGGCGGCATCTAGGCTATTTCCACTGTTGTATCTTCGCAGCATGACTGTCTCTGACTTGTTGGAAGGGGAGCCAGCTGTCATTTGCATTTCAAACACCATTTGCCTGAATGAACCACCCATATTGTTGCAACAGCCAGAGTGAATAGAATATTGGACTTGGGGAAGCAAGTTCCTCTTGCCTGGTCCACCTCACAGGATTGTTGCAAGGATACAGCAAGATAACCCAATTTTAAACCTTCCTTTTGAGGAAGGTAAAGAAATGTCAATGGGTTTTTTTTGGGGGGGGATAGCACTGAAATGGTCAATTTTGCTGTCCTCTCTCCCCTGTTTAGTTGTCCTTGCACTCTGGAACATAGTTCTGGGCATGCAAAAGAAAGAAAAGGTTTTTTTGAGGGGGGTGGAATACTCTCTTGCTGGAGGATAATTGAATCAGTTTATGGTGAAGGAGTTGGACAGTAAAAAGTACACATCCAGGTGGGTATACAAACCATTTAGCAAGTCTTTGTGATGTGATGCTCCACATTTGGCTTTGCAAAATTATTCTGAAGGAGTTATTCCCAGAAAACACAAAGGAGATTGTTGATGCTGTTGAAGAACAGTTTATTAATATACAGGAGCCAACACCTTCCGTTCTCGGAAGCTCCTCCTGTTGCTTGGTACCTCCTGTTTGTTTTACCTGTAGGCTTGCTTTATCTTAAGAGAAGAAAGAGAGAGAGAGTCTTGCCGAAATCATTTATCCTTTGAGTTGAATGATATGCAAATGTAGTCAATTAAGCAAGGGTATTTTAATTAGCAGTTTAAGTTCGTGTGCAAAGTGTCTTGCCTTAATTGCTTGACAGTTTTGTTGTAAATTTGTGAAGCCCCCCCCAACTATCAAAACTGTGAGGTTTTTTCAGTAACATTGTTAATTCTCGTGAGTCTCACTCTGTACATTTGACCCTCATGCTTCTGTTTCTTCATTCATAAAGCTCTTTTGCAAACTGTGCAGAAGAGGTAAATTATGCCTCTTAATTACCTCTAATTAAAATATTGCTTTCATTTTCTTTCTAGAATTAATTGAGCTTTGGTGTATCAGGTCCTCCCCCGCCCCGCCTTTTCTATAGTTCTATAACAACTATAGAATTGCATAGATTTCACTCATTCTAGCCAGGTGTCTGCAGTGCTGACGTTCAGTGTATCTTGCTGTATTGTAAGCTGGCTGGGTAACTGGTTTTCCATTCCACTTAACAGAAATTTGCAGTAGTGCTGATCTTTTGTTGCCCCTTCTTCCCCCAAAACTGCAATCCCAAGGTGGACAAAATTGGTTATTTATAGTAGTACTAACTGGAAGACTTGTAGAGTTAGAAAAACATTGTATTGTCCAATCCTCAATCCTTCAACAAAAGAGTTCCCTAAAATCCACCTTTTCTTCAAAACCCCACATGGACCCTCAGGAATACAGTTGAGCACCTTTAAGAAATGTATGTGTTATCTACTTATCTAATAGGTTGACTCAGTAACCAATAGTTTGCTTTTCCATTCTTTTCTATCCTGCCTTTTGCCAGATGGTATCCAGGGGGCTCAAAATATAAAACAAAAATACATTAATAATGGCAAATTAAAACAGCCAACAAACTGATAGAGCCAGCAATTAAAAGCCACCATCAAGATAGCAAAAATATAATTTAAATTGAATCTCAAGTACCATTGAAAGCCATTAGAGGCATGAGGAAGCAACATAGACTTCACCCGTCACCTAAAAGATGCCTCCTTCCCAGCAAAAAAAGGCAATAGGCACATATGGTTTGGGAGTAAGTTCAGTAATTTGGGAACCTCCTCAGAGAAACCTGTGTCTACAGTAGCCATCGCCACAACCTCTAAAACAGCCCCCACTTCCGATACCCTCCTTTATGGTGCTGTTATTGATAGGGGCTCAATAGGATGGGGGTAGCCAATGTGTTGCCTTCCTAGTATTGTGGGGCTCCCAAGTCCCATCATGTACTTTCTGGCAGACACCTGGAGGGCAACAAGTTGGCTATCCCTGCATTAGGAAATGTTCTTATGCATTGTGTAGAGTAGTTTTTATTGCTTGTTCCACTTGTCTTCACTGCTGTTGAATTTTTCAGCTAACATTCTAGGCCCTCATTTGCCCAGATTACAAGATGCCTTAATCAGATCATTTGAAGTTCAAGTGTTCATTAAACTGGTGCCCAGCAGCTTTGTTGTAGTTAAGGCTCAGTTGCTTTTCCCATTAAAAACAACAACAAGGCTGCAAGTTCACCCCACCCTGTCTTGTGGAAGGACTTCATACCCCATCTGTTTTACTTTGCTTTAGGGTTGAAAACAGGAGCAGAAGAACAGAGAAGGGGGTTTATTTGTGCTCCTTCTTCCCACTTCCCACCTCTTGGGAAAAGTCAGTTAAATCTGTGTGCATTTATTGATGATTAAACTGGCAGTAGGCACACAAATTGTTCCTCTGAATTTGGGTATTGGCTTAGTTTGAAAGCAGCTGACTTATCAAACCTGTGGATTTGGAAAGGTGCTTGCTAGTTTTGTAAACTGACAACTTTCCTTCTATGGAAAGTTTAATATTTACTTTTTTAAAAACTACGTTTACTAGAAGTGATGCACAGCCCTGTTCAGTATGACCCTAATAACAAAGGGTAACTTGAGTAAGGGGACACCCTTTGAATTAAGGGATGTCTCTGAAAATGAGGGGGACATCTGGCAGCCCTACTGGCATAATCTGGCATAATTTGCAGCTCATTTATGTGAAGCTGGCTGGGCTTGCTGCTTTGTTTCATTTGCACAGGAGTAAATCCAGGGCAATTCAGTGGAAATTGGTGCCGTTGTAATTGCAGGAACATGGCTTATGTATAATTTGTATACTTGTGCATTCATGACACAGTACTATATGAATAGGTAAACAAATCTTGAAACTAGTCTTGATAGCCAGGCAAAAAAAAGAAAGAAAAACAATTCTCCATGATCTGCCCTGCTCCCTCTGACAGGGTCTTCTGACATTACACTAAGCTCAGGGCCCAGCACAACTTGGAGGGTGGGATTGGGTGAACCTTGCTCATTTCTGCCAACAAGGAGAAGGGTGGTAGCTCACCTCAGGCACTCAGAAACCAGTCTACCCCTGATTTAGGGCTTATTAGAACCACTGCATATTGTTAAAATGTGTTTAGTTGGTTATAGGTTATGAAACAATCCATGTTTTTAACTATTAATGACTGCTGTATTTGGAGTGATAAGTGTAACATTGTATTTAGAGTCCAGACAAATCTGATCTTGATTTTTGTGACGATGAAATGTGTTACAAGAATTTTTAAGGTTTGTGTAACTTTATTTTTAAAAAATTTGTTGTGTATGATACATATTCCATCTTGCTGGCTGTCACTTTGTAGTTTCTTTTGTAGGGTTTGATTTCCTCCACCCCCTTGCTTCTTGTGTGTGTCATGAATGGAATAAGATACATCTGGAAGGATGCAATTTCATAGAGGTTTGCAAGTAAATGGGAAATGAAATAAATATGCCAAGGAAAAATGTGGAACAACCTAGCCCTGAAACCCTTTAGAAACAGATAAATGGAGTCGCCTCTCAGGGATAGGCACTAGAGCAATTCTTTCTCCCCATTCCCTCATGTGCCTGCTTACAGTCATACCTCGGGTTACAGACGCTTCAGGTTGCGTGTTTTGGGGTTGCGCACTGCGCCAAAACCAGAAGTACCAGAACAGGTTACTTCCGGGTTTCGGTGCGTGCGCAGAAGCACCAAATCACGTCCCACGCGTGCACAGATGCAGCGCTGCGGGTTGCGAACGTGCCTCCCACACGGATCACGTTCGCAACCCAAGCGTCCACTGTATTTATAGATTTTTTGAAAATTACAAAACAACATTATATTAACTGTTACTCTTAAGTAGTTATTTAAAACAAAACCACAATTTTCACTCACATATTCTCAGTCACCAGAGATCAAATCCACTGACAGTAAAAAACACAGTATATTAAATATCACACACACAGAGAGAGAGAGAGTATATGGATGGAGTTTAGCAGGAATTTTATACATCCCTTTTACAAATAACTTTGAGGAATAGTCTAGATATATTCTGGGGCAGTGAGAACTGTTGTGTGACATCTTCCAAGGGGTCTTTGAGCCCACGGGAAAAACATATGATTTGAAGCAGCTAATTTTGGAAAGTGATGAAAGATAGTGTTTTTAGGGTAAAAACAAGGGCTCACCATTACCTCCCTTCCAAATCCCCATCAAGCTGGACTTTTATCACAGCTGAGCTCAAAATGCCTTGAATAAACTGCTACATGGAAAAACTGCTTTTACCAAACTTTTATTTTCCTTTCCTTTTCTTAAAAAAAAGATGTAATAAAGCAATGAAATTGTGCTGTACACCAATTCCTCTTGCTCCCTGGTGTTGGTGCCCTTTGTGTGTTAGATTTGTTGCAAAAAAAAAAAAAAAGGTTGATAGGGAGATTGGTGTGTATCTTTTCTTTCCTTGTTTTGGGGGTGGGGTGGGGGCTGGACCATGTAAATACAGTCTGTGTTGTTTAAATGTGTCAGAGGACAGGTTTAATTGTGTGACCCTCCCTCACCCGAGCTCCAGGCAGCAGATGGTCCCACACTCCTCTTTTCTTTTCATCCACGCCTTGTCGGCTACGATTCCCATGATGCCAATATTGTTTGTGTGTGTGTGTTTGAAAAATGGGTGCTCTGTGTGTGTTAGTGAGCTGCCAAATATTCTCTATTGTTGTTACTAGCTTGGCTCTATTTTACTGACTGTAACAAGCATTAACCTCATTTGAACCCAAGAAACAAAAGTGGGGTGAGTGGGAGAAAATGGGGGGGTGGATGGAGCTGGAGGAAGGATGAAACTGAATTTTTTAAACTTAAAAAATGTAAAGAGCCCACTCAGCAGAACAGTACAAGCAAATCTAAAGCCAATAATACCACGTATTAACGGCAGCTTCAGGCTTGTAGCATTTCCCCCCACCTGCAAGTGTAATCTGCAACATGTCGTTGACACAGTAATAGTGCATTAGTAGTGAATTTATACTGAATGGTCCACGCACCATTCTGCAGTATTAGTTGTTCTGATTGCTGTTGATGGGGCAGTCTTGCCCTAACTATAGGACTCCTTGGGGAGGAAGGGTGGGGTATCAATCCAATCAATCAATCAATCAATCAATCAATCCATAGCTACAGATATGAACCCATGTCCATGCCCAATATGTGGCACAGAATAACATATTGCTACCACTGAACTGGAAATGTCAGTTGCTTCCCCAGTTAAAGTGTGTGTTTTCTGGTGAAAGTATCCCAGTTTCTTTTGCTTGTAGCTGAGTCTTTGTGATGTGTGGGAAATAGCTGTGGAGCAAGAACTGCAAATATTTTGTAGTTCCTGCTGTGCATCTTGTACTACTTGAAGCCTTCCCAAATGCAGTGCTAAGGAACCTTTACCTAATTCTATGCTGCCTGCAGGGATGGGCTTCAAGGTGGCAGACAGAGAGAATCCCACAGTGCTGAAAATTCTACCCATTTTTGTCTCTGGTGTTGTGTGTTGTTACGGGTGTCCCTCAATCCCCATGGACTGATAGCCCTTCCTAGGGGGAGGGTTTTCCCGCCCTTGCTTTAAATAGAGTCCATTTTTTCCTCAACTTTTGTTGCCATAACTGGAAATTTAACATTTATTTTCCCCTACACACCATATGCTAACCTCCATTAAGTTTTCACTCTGCAGGGTGGGCATTCCATACTTCTTAAAAAAGCTTTTAAGTCTGAGAAGAGTGGGCTTCTACAAGCCTTGTGCTCAAGGGAACACATGGCTTAAAAGGAGGGAGGGGGGAAAGGATAAAGATGAGCCTTCTGCATTAGTTCTGCTGGCAGCCTCCCACCATGGTTGCACAGCTATGGATTTTAAATAATTTAGCTAAATGCGCAGCAGTGTCTGCAGCAGCAGCAGCATTGCTGGAAACCCTCGACTCAGCAGACAGACAGTCTGGCCAAGAGAATGACATGTTTGCATTCAATATCCCATCATGTCATTTGACTAAGGGATACTGTTTAAAAGGTTTACAATAGCTCTAAATCTTGGGTGAGTTACCTGTATACCTCCTGGTGTTGTTGGCCTTCATCTCCCAGGGATAATGAGCGTTGCAGCCCAGTAACAACTGGAGGGCCATGGGTTCCCCTACTCCTGTTCTACATAGTGGGGAAAGAGCCTGTACTCAAGAAGGCTGCATAGTAATGAAAGGGAAGTGAAAAACCCTGCCTTATTAAATCTCTCAGTGTTTTTGCAGCCGCTAGCTCTCAGGAATGGTGAGTCATTCTCAACCTGGGAAATCATGAGAGCAGTTTAAAATGTCATGAGATTTCAAGTTAACAGTGACTTTCAGGAGCCGTTTCTGTTTTCAGGGGGATTTATGAGATTCTGTGAGGAAATGGAGACCAGACACAAACTGGAAGTCAAGATGTCTGAAAGTAGAAGCTGTTTTTTAAAAAAATGAAATTGCCAATATCTCACCTTCAGTTTAACTTTACAAAACGCAAGCATTGTTAGCTCTTGTTTTCAGGGGAACAAATAAAGAAACTTGTCCTCTCATCCTCTTTAAATTTGAGACTTCTTTCTGAAATTCAGCAAACAAAAGCAAAAAATAAAATAAAAAAAACACCCCAAACCAATTATCATGCCTCTGTCATTATGTGAACAGTGGACTGAAATGCTCTGTTCCAATATTTGCCCCCTTAATATAACGTTAATAAAATTTGGATATGATAAAAGGAGAAGGGGATTTAAAAAAGGGTGTAAAGTCATGTAAAGTTTGGAAAATACCCACTGAAGAATAGTGAGAAAGAATAGTGTAGAAACCCTATTGAAACAAATGGGGACTGTGTATAAGATTAGGAATGATCCCGGAACTGGTATGCAGCTCTCCCCACGATTTTAATATGAACCAAAATGAAAACAAGGGAAAGTAATTATTTACTGTGAGCAGGATAGGCACCAGGGTGCTGGTGCATCCATTTATAGGATTTCAGGATGAGTTGGTCGAGGCAGTTCCCTTCTGTTGTTAGCTCTTCGGGGTGTTGTGCTTTTGTGAAAGGCATTGACACACAACCTCGGCAGACCAAATAACAAGAAAATAAAACAGTTCACTCTTTCTAAAGTCATCATCTAGCCACCCATCACTGTCTTTTCAGAAGCCCAGATGGTAAACAACAGTGTGAGGTGAAAGGGGACAGGGGGCTTTGTCCTCTTTTCTCATGCCTGCTTTTATTGTTGGTTTTTAAAAAAATATGTGTGTGACCTTCACACATGCGCCTGTGTGTGTGTGTGTGTGTAACACCCCCACTCTAGCTTTCCCACTTTCTAAGAAATAAGGCACAATTTGTGGAGTAAAATAGATGTGACCACTGGTAAGGTTACTTAGCAGCTCTAAGGACCACATAACCACAGTGAGCGTAGCTGCTGTGCAGGCTTTCCCCAACATCCTTTTCACACGGAAAATGATCGTTGTTTTCTTGTGTGATTGCATTCTGCTGCAGTGCACAATTGGCTGCTTTATGTTCTTATCTGGTTTTCTTTTGAAGAACAAATGGCCCAGGCTTGCATTAAGTGGGTTTCTACTGTTGCCAATAACCATAGGAAAATTGAATGTGGATTGTTGCACCTGCACCCCAGAGGCAATCTTGTTTCAGCACTGCAAGATGATCCCTGGGTGTGGTTGGTCTGTGTGTGTGGTGAGAGGTGCTAAATAGTATGTGATTGTCAATGAGAGGGCGAAATTATCGAGGGAAGTGGATAAGCTTTCTAAGAGACCTGGAATTTTATCTTTGGGTTGCACCTATTCTAATCATATTTTTAAAATTCTACCAGTTTTTGAACTGCATTTGTTCTTGTGGGGAGTCTATGGGGGGAATCAGGTGAACAGCTAGAGGCTTTGACATGCAGAAATTGCTTTTGCTCTGATCAGCTATGCCTGGCAGTTAACCTTGTGTCAAAACTACAAAACTAGTCAGGATAGGCAGCTGTTGGCGAAGGTCCAGATCTGAATTTCTGGAAACATTTTCATGCAGGATGCCCACCCAGCTGCAATAGCTCATATGCCACAAGGACTTTGATGATCCATTGAGAGGCAAAGTCTTGCTTTTCAGCAGCCTGGGTTTGTCAAGCTAAAGAGCAGAGAGTCCAACTTTGCTTTCCAGTTCCACTTGATTGGAGCAAGGAGGCCAGCCATATTTTGGAGGATTATTGAAATCCCTGGGAACAGGGGTTACCAGTCTTTGTTTCAAGCATTGTTTCAAACTGCTGAATATTAATGAGGTGGTGTGGGAGTAGTAGACTGAGAGGAGTGTGAGGTCTGGTTACACATCTCATTCTTGACAAAGGGGAGGAGGGACCTCTCTCTTTCTCCTCCCCCCTTTCCTGGCCCCACAAGAATATTGATGGAATCTTTGCTTGGGTTGCCAGGCTCTTCACTCTGTAGTTGTCATCTTGATTGTCAGCTGGGAAGGGGATTTAAAATGGACATTGTTACCCCTCCCCTTTTCCTTTTGCTAATCTTACATTGCTCAAACCATAGAAGGGTTCATATACCTCTGAGATGCTTTGTACTGAGAACAAGGGAAGCTATGGAGCTCTTAAAAAACAAAACCCCACTACATAAAAATATTATGCCTCCAATGAGAAGTGTACTGTTGGAGTAGTACTGCTAAAATTGGAGTGTTTCCAAATGGAAAGTATTTCCTGGGTTGATGGGCTTCTGCTAAAATTGTTAGCCATTGGAATTGTTTTGAAAGCCCCAAGTAACCCAGTGGGGGGGGGGGGAGGGGGACCCTTGAGGATGATGGACTTGAAAATCCCGCAGAGTTGTAGAACATATTGAACATTCTGCCTGTTTTCACGTGTCCCAGTCTTTCAGCATTTTTATTTGCATATTATTAGCCTTTTTTAAATTAAAGGGGGGGGGAGAGAAAGCCTCTGATTTCTAACAAATGTACATTGCAGGGCCTTGGCAATAGAGTAAGCAAGGTTACTTGAGTACAAAAGGCAGCTTGGCTCATTCACTTGAGCACTAGGGCCTTGTAATGTAATTCAGTCTAAGTAAATTTGTTATATATATTCATCCTGTTTATCCCTGCCTCTGTTTTCCTCCCATTCCCCAGATGTGGGGAACCATTGGCCAGCTAAACATTGCTGAACTACAATTCTCACCACCCCTTGCCACTAGCCATACTTGCTAAGGTTGATGGGAATTGTAGTTTAGCAACACAAGGAGGGCAAATGTTCTGTTCTAGATTGCAGGCCCTTTCGACTGTGCTGTGTAAATAATAACAACACTGTCAGTGATGAGTATTCTCCAGGAACATTAATTGAATTCCATATTCAGCCATAGGGATACTACTAGCCACAGTAGCTACATTATACCTTCAGTATTCAAGCCAGTATGCCGTTCTGGCTTTCCCTGGCCAATGAGGAACTGGAACTCATAACTTTGGTTTTGTCAAAGGGTTTTATTTTCAGATTGAAATTGTACATTAAGACAAGCCACAAGTTGCAAGAATCATACATTTAAATTAGGGTTGACATATTATACTTACTGTGAATGTGAGCTATGTTTCTTTTTCCTTTCTTATGTTTCCATATATATATATATATATATATATATATATATATATATATATATAACGCCACAGAACCTAGGCAACAAAAAAATCACCAGAGACCGGGAGACAGTGGTGGTTGTGGAGGTCTGCTTGAAACACCAGAACGGGTCTGTCACCTTTGCGTGACAACTAATGGATTACAGCTAGGATTGCTTGAGTGTCTTTATGTGCTTGTTTGCATAACTCTATGTGTTACTGGAGGAAATTTAGTGGATAAAGCTTTCTCCATGATTGCATCTTAATACTGGAAAAAGCTTATCCTGTTGAAGGTATGTTTTGTCTGTGTGCTAAGGCCCAGAATAGGTGATAATCCAGGCAGTAAGGAAGAGTGGCATATAACAGAAAACACAAGAAGCAAAAGACATGAAGGCCTTCACCTCCTGGGTGAAACATCTGTGGAAGTTTTGGAGATCAAGTCCATTCTTGCCTCAGCAGAGTAACAGCAAGCAAATCTTAAGGCTTTAGGCATATATCTCCTGGGTGATTTGCCACAGTAATGCATTCCAAGAGCAGGCATGACTCTTCAGAGGCAACTCATTTCTACTCATTCTAACACAGGGGTAATATTTCCTTCCCTGTATTTTAAAAAATTTAAATCTGGCATGAATTTCATCCCCACCTTAATGTTTTGCTCTGGGTTTGTATTATAAGGGACATGTTTGTGCTGAAACAAAAGAATTCCTACTGCTAACATGCAGGTCTGGGCAGGATCATGGCATGGCTCAGCCCATTTATCAATCTCCGCCTTGAAATCTGGAGTGGGGAGTGAAAACTCTGATCCTAAATTATATGTGAAAAGCCACATTGTTGTGATATCATTCTAATATGTGGCTGAAGCCTAAAATGGTTATTTTAAAGATGAAATAATATTTGCTTTGGGAAATGATGGCTTGCAAACAAACAGTGCGGAAAATACTTTTAAAATAGAAAACATCACACACACACACTATGTGATCATGAGAGACATGCTTCTGAAGCAGTATGTCTCAATTCATTTCTCATGTTTTGATCATCCATTGATTTACTTTTTACATTATCAGTTGTATCTGTTTTGTTTCAACCTTCTTAGGGGAATATTTCTATAACCATTGGTCGTGTGATGGACCCCCTTCAAATTGCAGAGGACTCCAGGGGCATGATTTAAGGATGTGCATGTCCCCCGCCCTGCACACACACACACACACACACACAAAATGCTGGCTGGACCTGTTGAACCTCACATTGACCCTGAATGTACCAAACTGCACATTCCAAGGGAAGATTGATAGTGGTGGACAAGCTGCTTTTCTTGGAATTTTGTCTGCTGTTAATGATCTCATCAGTGAGGAATTCTTGATAAGCTTCCAAGTATCTCCAGGGTTCTCTCATAACAAAGTTTGAACCTGCCCCTTCCCCAAACATATGCTCTTAAAAAGTTTGAAATTTTGGTGTAGCGTGGATCTTGCTGCAAAGAGAGAGAGGAGAGAGAAGCAGACAATGACTCCAACCCTCTTTCTCGGCCTTCACCTTGCAACACTTTTAAATCAATATGTCATTTGTAGAATATTGTTGGCCCATCCAATAGCAGTATGATAGTCTTCCCTTTCTGTGTGGGATTGTACTCTTTTGGGTAGAGGTAGCCAAGCATATCCAGGTAAGACAAGAGAAAGATGTCGTGTATGAAACCCTGGTGAAGTGGTGCCAGTCATTGTGGACAATATTGAGCTTAATGGATGGATGGACTAGCTATGTATAAGTCAGATTCCTGAGACTGATGGAAATTGTAGTCAAACAACATGTGAAGGGCACCATATAGGTTACATTGCACATTGTCAAAGGGAAACTCCCCACGGGGGTAGAAATCATATATCGAACAGATGGAAAGCTCTTTAACTTGAGTTGGCTGAAAGGAAAGAGTAAGGTTACCATAATTTCTGTCATAGAGCTTCAGTATGCTGATGACAACGTAGTGTGTGCACACTCAGAGGATGTCCTCCAAACCATCCTAAGTATCTTTGCAGAAGCCTACGAAATGCTTGGCCTGTCGCTCAACATCAAAAAAACCAAAGTGCTGCACCAACAAGCTCAAAACCAACCCCTCTGCAGCACCACTAATCCAACTCAGTGGTGTAACGTTGGAAAGTGTTGATCACTTCTCCTACTTGGGCAGATACCTTTCCACGTGGGCAGACATTGATGCCAAAATCTAGCATCACCTGAGCTTGGCGAGTGCAGCTTTCTCCTGATTGAAGTACAGAGTGTTTGAGGACCAGGACATTTGCAGGGAAACCAAAATGCTTGTTTCCAAAGCTATTGTACTACCAACTTTACTGTATGCTTTTGAAACATGGACTACTTATAAACGCTGTCTCCAACTCCTTGAAATATTTCATCAACGGTGTCTCCGGAAAATTATACATATCACGTGGGAAGACAGGCAAACTGATGGCCAGTGTACTGGAAGAAGCAAAGATCACCAGTGTCAAAGCAATGATTCCTCAGCATCAACTTTGTTGGGCTGGTCATGTTGTTCGGATGCCTGATTATTGTCTTCCAAAGCAACTACTCTATTCCAAACTTAAAAATGGAAAGCATAATGCAGGTGGTCAACAAAAGAGGCAAATCTTTAAAAATGTAGTATAAACACCGACAGTTGAGAAACACTGGCCTGCAAGCGTTCCAGTTGGAGAACAGCCTTTACCAAAGGTGTCATGGACTTCGAAGATGCTCAAAACTCTGGACGAAAGGGAGAAACGAGCTAAGAGGAAAGCATGCTTGGCAAACCCTGACCATGATCAACTCCTGCCTGGAAATGTATGTCCCCACTGTGGAAGGACGTGTGGATCCAGAATTGACCTCCACAGTCGGACTCACTATTAAGACTGTGTTCATGGAAGGCACTCTTACTTGGCTATCACTAATCGCCAGAGAAGAAGAAGAAGAATTGGCTACCCCAGCCGTTAGTGCCACTTCACACATTGTGAAGAGCTTCCAACAAAGGTGAAAATGTAGGAAGCTACTTTTTATCATATCAAACTATTTGTCTAAATTTGGAAGTATTGCCTCCTTGTACTGGCAGCAGCTCTCTACGGGCTCAGCTACAGGCATTTACCCATCCCATCACCTTTTGGGATGACAGCAGGCCTTGAATCTGGGCCCATTGGAATACAGATAATACACTTGAACTATGGGTCATCCCTAGAGAAGTGAATGTTAGTACTTTTAGTTGCACTTTCAAAACGTGTGTGTGTGTCATGACGAGAGACAGATTGGCTAGAAGAACTGAAAACAGACACACAAACTGCTTTGCACAAGGCAAAGACTGTCTCCAAGGCGCCACTCTCATGGCACTGGAAAATAAACTTCTGCTTTCAAAAATGAAATAAAAATACAATCAAATAAATGCGGAGCAGAATGTCATAGCTTTCATGGAAGGGAGAATGAGACTAGGGGAGAAGCAGGGTTAGCTTTGATATATTTAGCTTAGAGACTTTCTAGCTTGTTGGGCAAGAGTATTGAGAAGCCCTGGGATTCTTGCTTTTCACTTTAGCCTTCTGTTGCTTTGTGCTCTGAGGGGAACCACACCAAAGCAAGGATACCGGTGGGCAGAGTGCATAAGCCCTTTTGCTGGTTTCACAGTGGTTTCTCTCAGCTTTGTCTGGCTAGCTATGTCACATGTGGACCACAGGCATGTGAATATGTATATCTCACTTCCAAAACGAACTACTTTCACATTTGTTTTCTTTGTACTGTCTAGGGTTTATTTCTTGTGTATTTAAATCTACATAAGTTACTAGACAACAATGCTACATGCACACCCCGCTGCTCACATGCACTTTAATTATTAAAAGTAAATCACTTGCCCTACCCTTTGTAAATGTTTTGTTGCTTTACTGCTTAGAGGTGATTCTTAATTTTTATTGGTGACTCAGTGCTGACTGTATGCATGCCCGTGCTATAATTTGTTTGTATGGTTTACATGTATAGGAGCAAAGTGTTTATCGAGTTGTACATTGTCCTTTTAAAAAAAGCATTGGCTAATAAATGTTTGACATTCATGGACATAGGAATTCATGTGAATTAATGGAGAATGTACAAAAACAGACAGCATACAGAGGAGCTATCATACATTGTCCTCTCTACAGGGGTAGTCTCCCATATGGCAGTCCTTTTGATCTATTTACTTTCTCCAATATACGGTAACTTGGAAAGTATGCATATTGAGCATTCCCTTTGCAAAATTCTCTATACATGCAGCATTGACAATGTATGTGTGTCTTCTTCACTGGGTGATTGTAACTTGGAAAAAAGAGGGTACAGGATCTGCGTCAGTCTAACATGCCTACTTCGTTGAATCATGCCGAATTACACATACATGAATGAATTTTTTTTTAAGAATTGAAAACTTTCTCCAGGGCAAGTATAATTAATTTTACTTACAGCAGTACTGTTGCATGTCAAAGCATGAAAATGAATGGAGGTGGTGGTGGGTGATGGGGCAAATCTTTGTCGCTTAGATGACAATCACATTTTCACACGCTCCCCCCTCCCCCCCGCAAAACCTGCAGAGCGAAAGCAGCATTGGTGATACAAAAAGGAAAGGTCTGGCGTGCTTTTCTTTTTGGGTCTGGGAGCTGCTGACCAAATCCCTTCTTCATTACAAAGTTCAGGCACTTTTCTTTGTTTTTGTTTGGCATGCCCCTTTGTGTGGCTGTTTTTTCCACCCCTGACGAGACCATGGTCATCTGAGGATCATGTGACCACACTGGGGTGATCCTTTTCAGGAGAATAAGCAGATGCTGTCCTGCTTATTTAAAAGCACAAAGGGATTGGCCTTTCACGGTGCCCCCTTGCATATTTTAACTCTTTTTTTTCCTTTCTCATGCCCCCTCCCCAAATTTTGTGTGTGTACGTGTGTGTGTGTGTACGTATGTATGCACATTGGGTTTGAGAACTGATGACATTTGTGTAGGGTATTTGTGTGTTGTGTTGTGTTGTGTGGCTTTTCTTTCTGGCCTTTCAAGGGACTTGCTACTCCAAAAAGAACAAAAAAACCCCAAACACATTTTCGTGTTAGCTAGTAGTGACTTTTTAAAATAGCCATGGTGTGCTGTGACATTATTGCATTACATAATACCGGGTGGAACTTGCTCTCAAATTAGACTAGAGTGGGGAAATACAGTGAAGACCACCTCAGTGCTTCAGGGCCTCTACCTATTGTCCACTGTAGGCCCTACCCCTGGAGCCCGTTAACACAGATTACAGAGATGGGGTAACAGCTATGCTAAGGAGGCTGGCACAGCCCCACCAGCTTTAGTCCACCCTTATCCAGCCTGCTTGCCTGCCTGCCTGCATTTGTACGTATAACAGGTCCAGGGGGTGGCACTGCCTGTCATTTCCCTCTTCCTCCTCCTCAGTCCCAGTGTTTCCCCTTGTAGAGCTCAGCAAGGAAAAAATGGGGACAGTACTAGAATCATTTGCCCTGCCTACAGATGGGTCTACCTGCCTTCCACCCTACCAGCCCTAATGGGCACCCAGTCACCACGGTAGCAATTTCAATGTAATCTACAGCTAAAATGCTCCAGAAGATAGTATTTATTGGGTGACGGGAGGAAGAAAGGGGAGCAGCCTGTCTTGTGTGGGCAAGCTATTAAATAAATGCTGCTCTGACATGCAGAGAAGAGCCAAAGAGAGGGAGGGTACTATGATGCTCCTCTGCACACAAGTTCTTAAGTGGGCTTGAATGGATAATTTGTGCAGCTCCAGTCCTAGGTGACTGTGAACAGCCACACCTGCTGCTTTTGCAACAGACCTTTAGTACCTGTGCCCCAGCTACTGTTGAGAGGTTACAAGCAGGGAACTGAGGCTGGGAGGGAGTGGTGTAGCAATAAACAATCAGGTTTGGATCTCCCTCTCCATGAGTGAAATCTGGCTCTATACCAAGTGGCTTATGCTGGTATTGTGAGCCTTGTTTTCATTGCTAGGTATATAGACCATACACTTGCTTTTTATAAATGATTGACTGCGGATTGGTTACCTGTATGGCTGGTGGGGATGCATGAGAGTGAGGCTTGGATGCGGAGGATTGCAAAGGATACATTTGGCAGAGGTTACTGTGTCAGGGTAGGTGGGTGGAGAGCGTGGGTGAAGTGTGGGTGCAGTTCCTCTCTCGGTTCCTTTGATTAGTTACTAATGATGCTGTTTTGTGGAGTTTTTTTTTTGCATTTTTGCATTGCTTTTTTATCCATAGTGTTTTTATGGTCAAAACAATATTTTGCTTGATGGTTAAAGGCGCTGAGAGTTGTTAGGAGGCCCTTTTCCTGTCAACAGACCCACAGTCCTCAGATTTCCTTGGAAAGAGGGATTGATTGTTAAGCTACTCAGAGTTATAGCTGTGTGAGGGGAATAGGGGTCTCCTAACAACTCTCAGCACTCCCTAACAAACAACATTTCTCATAATTCTTTAGGGGAAGCCATGACTGTTCAAAGTGGCAAGATAACTGTTTGAATTGCATAGTGCAGATGGGGCTTCTCTGTGTGTGCATGTTATTAAGTTCAGTTTTATCACTGCCATTTTTACCATTGGTCCCTAAGCCCAGCCCTTTACATTACTGGGAATAGCTCCAAGGTCTCAGGCAGTGTTTGGGGGGGCCTCTTTCCTAAGATCCTTTTTAACTGGAGATGCCTGGGATTGAACCTGGGGCCTTCTGAATGCTAAGCAGGTGCTCTGCCACTGAGCTATTTGGTTGTCTTTCCCTGGTGATAGGGTGTGGCCCTTCTTTCCTGTGGAGTATTGTTTGTGATCTCCTCCCTGTGAGGTTTTGAAGCTGCTGTTCCGTGATAAGTTAAAAACATGTGTCGTGCACGTTTTGCAGGGTGCAAAGGCTACATTTCTATATATGTGTTAAGAAACTGTTTTCATGACGTCTTTGCCTCCAAGATTGCATCCATATGAAAATATCACTTGCAGAGTGTGAGAAGTACTTTTCTGTTGGATTGGAATGTTCAGCAGGGATATTGGCCAACCCTTCTTTCAAAGAGCTACAATAGCTGCTCTCCTGACATGAGAGAAGTGGGTCAGCACAACTTGGAACTGGGTCAGCTGTCTCCAGCAAGGCGAGGGGGAAAGCACTGTCTCGCAGATGGGCAAAGCTGTTGCAGAAACAAAAAAAGGAGGCAACATAGAATGGAATAGAATAGAAAACTCCAGATATAGGCTTTATTCATGCTTTTAGCACAGCGCAAGCAGTTTTTACTTTCCCAGATGAAAGACAAGTGTGTTGTAAGGGGGTTGTCCTTCATTGTAGGTTTCAGGTGGTGTGGAATGCAACCTCCCTCCTCTTTAGCTATGCCCTTTGAAGGGCATATTGCAGTGGCACCCTCTTACTCTAAATACCTTACATGAAAGTATGTTCTGGAAATTTTCTTCTGATTACAGCGTTCAGGGTTATATGGAAATTTTTAGGCATCATGTGCACAGTCATCTCAAGCACATTAATATCAGTAGGGCATGTGTGGGGGACAACCTTTGACCCTCCAGATGTTGCTGAACTCCACCTCTCACCAGCTCCAGCTAGCATGGCCAGGGATTATGGGAGTTGTAGTTCAGCTATATCCAGAGGACCAACAGCTCCAAACACCTGGGTTAAGGAGAAAGAATGCAGCTCAGTGGTGATTAGGCCTGGGCGATATATCAATATATCGCCCAGGACCAGTATGGGGAGCAGACTGTGATGTTGGCTTCACTCAGCAGCTTATCACTGGTGAAACTTCCACTGCTCCTGAGCCCCTCTGCTAGCAGCATCCTCCAGCAGCACTGCTAGCAGAGGGACTCAGGTATGGTGGCAGTTTCACCAGTGATATATCGCTGAGTGAAACTGCTGTTGCACTCTGCTCTCATATGATGCAGAGAGAGAAACAAGCTGCATAAGCGAAGCACCGATACAGCTTGTTCACCCCCCTGCACCTTTAAACTGCTTGACTGAGGAGTGTGCAGCTGCCCTTACCTGATCCAAACGGTTAAAGGAGCCCCCAGCCTGGCGCTGGCTCCTGTGAGCTGGTGGTGGTAGTGGGGCTCTATGAAATTGCTCAGCTGAGGGAAGCGCAGTTGGCGCTCCCCACAGTGAGCAGTTAAAGGAGCCCCATGCTGTGCCTGCTCACATGCGAGTGGCAGGAGTGCTGGAGCTGTGTGAGCGCCTGAATGAAACCACTTCAGTTCCCGAGTGAAGAGCTGGGGCAGTTTCACCAGCTGCCTCGCAGGCAGAGGCCAATGCGGCTTGTTTTTCAGTATCACGGTATGTTGCCAAACCGCCTAGTGGTGATGCATATGCTTTGTGTACAGAAAGTTCTGAAATTCAATCCTTGGCATTTCCAGTTAAAATATCAGGTAGCGTACTGATGGAGAAGATTCTCTTGTCTAAGATCCTGGAGCAGTACCACTGCCCCTCATCATTACTGGACTAGATAGGCAAACAGAGTTGTATCCGGTGGTAGTCCTACTACTAACACAGGCTCATTAATTTCAATGGGTCAGTTCTCAGTAGCACTACCTTTGGATACAGCCCACATTCTGCTCTGGTGTAAGGTAGCTTCCTATGTTCTTGAGAAGCAAAAACTCAGTTTGGGGACTGTCAGCTTTACAATTACGTTATGTTGAACAGAAAGCCAGGATTATCTCTTCAGTTCTATCTTCTCTGAGCTTCCTTGTGGTTCCCTGAAGAAAATCTATTTCATTTGGCTAATTTTGACTAGGTCTATTTGTGGTCCTTGAATTAGAAGCCTCAGATGTACTTCCACCCGAGCTTTGTATTAGAGTTTGCTATTTCATGCATTTGTGGTTGTCAGCCCAAGATTTTTTAATAGTAACAGTAATAGTAATAGTAATAGTAATAGTAACAGTATGTATGTATTTCATTTATAAATCATTTCCTGTGAGGTTTCTGAAGAGATTTTCAATACAATAATATATATAGAATGGCTACATACATGAAAACAATTGCATTTATAAAAGCAATTAAAAATATGAATATAAAAACAGTGTAAAGCAACAACAGCACATACAAATAGGTCACGTCCATGCCATACATTTAAAGCACATGGCTCCCTGCTCAAGATTTATGGGAAATGCAGCTACAGTTCCCAGCACCCTTAACAAACTAAGTTTTGAGGATTATTCAGGGGAAAGTAATGTGCTTTCAATGTATAGCATGCAAGTGACCAAAATCAATTCAAATCCAAGACAGATACCAACCAGAATAAAGATTTTAGAAAGCTTATTGAAAGAGAAATGTCTTTAGCAGGTACTTGAAAAGGCAACAGAGAAGGTGCCTGTCTAATAGGCAATGGGAGAAAGTTCCAAATGGTAGCTGCTTCCACAATGTAGTACGGTGGTCAGAGTGTTGGACTAGGACCTGGGAGACTAGAGTTCAAATCCCTATTAAGCTGTGAAGCTTGTTGAGTGACCTTGGGTCAGCCACCATCTCTTAGACTAATCTACTTTGCAGGGATCCTGAGAGGGCAAAATGGGGGGGGGGGATTGGGTGCAACACCTTGAGCTTCTTGGATGAAAAATAGGGTATGAACCTAATAATAAACTAATAAAGGCCCGATTCCAACATTGTGCAGAACAGACCTCCTGATAGGATGGTATCTGCCAGATGCCCTCTCCTGAAGAACACAGTGATGGTTTGAGTATGTTGGGAGATGAGGTGATCTTTTCAGCTTAAGAGAAAGGTTAGCGAAGTGTGATCAAGGTTTATAAAATTAGGCATGGTGTGGAGAAACGTCCACAGAAAAGTTATTCACTTCTTCTTTACATGCTAGAATGTAAAGACATCCAGTAATACCAGCTTGGACACTGGGAGAAACAGAACGCTGAACTAGGTAGGCTTCTTGCTCTGATCCAGCAGGGAAATTCTTACCCTGTTAAGATTTTTATTTATTTATTTTTACGCACACTGCTCATTCTAGAGTGCATTGCACCATTTATTTGTTTGTTTGTTTGCTTCCTTTTGCTTCTGTGCCACGTTGACATTATTTCATCCTTGCTCATGCGTTTAGGGGTTTTGTGGGAATACACTGTTTTAATGTGTTGCTTTTTCTTGTGTGTGAATAATATGTTCCAGAACACACTGTAAGAGAGATTTTCCCTACTTCCCCCAGAGTTTGGTGTTTCCTGAATGGACTTTCACTGAAGCCTTGATTAAAAGAATACATATCTCAGTACGTCCCATAAGAGCTATGAAGTTATTCCTGTTAACTGGGAATGCCCACAGCCAATGTCCCCCTTGATCATCAGTATTAACCCTACTGCTCTGTGCCAGTTGGCATTCAGTCTCTCCCACCCCTGATTTCCTCCTATGCAAGTGAGGGAGCACATAATGAATGAGTGCAGCCATTTGTTTGATAGTATTAGTTTGATAGTATTAAACTGTGTATATGACACATTTGTTTGCATTGGTATGGTTGCCATATTTCAAAAAGTTAAAACCAGGCTTTTTTTAGGAAGACCCCAATCTGTAGCTTTCTGGTGACAAGACAAAGTTTTTTTTGAAAGTGCCTCACTCTGTATGGAAGGAACCCTTGAAAGATTTATGCTCTCTATGCAGGGAGGGGAAACCCCAAGGCTCTCTATGCAGTTCTCCAGGCACTTTTATCTGGCCTTGTGACTCTTCCTAGGCCGCGCCTTCCTTGAGTGCTTTCCCCTGACTGGAATGTATCCTTGAACTCTGATAATGCTTCTTGCTTGTCTAGAGAGTGAGTGGTGTGCAAATGTGTATAAAAAGCTACTGCACAAAGATAAATTCTATGTTTATTGCCTAGCCTTTTGTTGCCTCTGGCTCCACCCACTGCTGGCATGTGGCCCCTGGTAGATTGCCCAGATGGGAAAGCGGCCCTTTGAATGCAAAAGCTTCCCCACACTTGTTTTCTGCACAATTTTGCAGGAAGCTTTTCTGGGAATAGTTCAAGAGCCTTGGAGGAAGAGCAATTTCAATTTAAGAGTTGTGTCAGGGACAGGGAAATACCTCTTAATGCCTGAGACCCTGGAGAGCTGTTGCCAGCCAGGGTTGACAGTTGCAGGCTAGATGGGCCATTAATCTGACCTGGTTTTAAGGCAGCATCTTATGTGCCTCTGTCTGTGCACAGGTATCAAGAAAAGACTGGTTGTTTTTTAAGCGGCACTAAAGCAAAAAAAAATAAAAATGGGAAGGGGTTGCAACTGTTACCCATTCTCTTTCCTGGGGCCAGTTGCCACATCCAGCCTGACTGCCTGAGTACAAAGGCCCCTGCTTTTTGTTCAGGGCTTGCTTTTTAAACATGCACCGAGCCTTTTGATTTGAATTGGGAAACGGGAGCCTCTAAGCGTTCATCTCTGCCAGAACAAAATGTTCAAGGCACTGCTGCGCTGGAGATGCAGCTGGAGGTTTCAGTATTAATACCGCATTAGCCAGATGGAAATGAGGTTGAAGGGTGTGTGTGTGAGAGAGCACATGGGAAAATGTCTTCCCTTTAAAGGAAACAGAGAGCTGAATTATACACATACAGCTTTCATAATGTTACAAAATAGCAGCATCTGATTAATAAATATTTAGCATTTATGTAGCATTTCCTATTTTTCATCTTACAACAACTCTGTAAGGTTGGTCAATACTGTCGCCTCATAATATTATAAAGGGAAGGGGAAAAGGCTTTGCATAAAGACCACCACTGTGCTCATGGCAGCGGCAAGTCCCCTTCCCCCATTTGTAATTGCAATCCAATTTGTAAGCCCCATTGAGTTTGGTGGGACTTACTCCCAGGTAAGTATTGTTTAAAGGAAGCATGCAACTCCCTTATTAGAAGAGTTCCACCAGCTACCAGTCTATTTCTGGGCACAATTCAAAGCACTGGTTTTGACCTATAAAGTCCTATGCAGCTTAGGTCCAAACTCTCTGAAAGACCTCATTCCCTCATATGAAACTGACTGGGTTTTGCGATCTTTAGGAGAGGACCCGCCACCCTCACCCTCATAGGCACCCTTGGTAGGAACAGTGGAAAGGCTGCTCCCAGACTCTGGAACTCCCTCCCTGGAGAAGCTAGACTGGCTCCCTCCTAGTTGCCCCTCTGCCAGCGGGTGAAGACCTTTTGTTCCAAAAGGCTTTTGGGAATTGACCGCTTTTAATGAAAGGGCTCATGCCATGCTGTTTTTATTGTAATTATTTGCATGTTTTAAACAGATTTTATATACGTACCGTATATAGATTTAATCTTATCAATGTTTTATTAAGAATTGTTTTTTCTATTTCTTGTTTTTACCTGTAAGCCAATTCTGGTTTTTATCTGTAGGGGTATAAATAAATAAATATATAATACTACTACTACTAATAATAATAATATTGTAGGCACATCCTCTCAATCTTCATACTGTGCCAGCTCTCTTATAAATTCATTTTTGGTGTGTTGTCTTGAAGACATTTAGCTTTTATCTCCAAGCATTTTTTAAAAATGTGTTTTTTTACGATTGGAATTCAAACATTGACATTTGTAATGAGAGAAATGGCCAGACATTAAATTTTTGGACTTCTGCTTTAAGACTTCTTCAAGTGTCACATCCACATCATACATTTAAAGCACATGACTTTCCTCAAAGAATCCTGGGAACTGTATTTTCTTAAGGGTCCTGGGAATTGTACCATTGTGACTGGTAAACTTTCATTCCTATTATTCTTTAGGGGGGTTCCATGACTGTTAAAGTGGTATATATGTGCTTTAAATGTATGGTGTGGGATGTGACTCTGGATATCTAAGGCGTTTTATGTGCTGTATCCTAATAGAGAGTTTTTTGAGTGCAAAAATCCAAGGATAAATCTCCCACTGAAATATGACCAAATTCTCTTTGGCTTTCATGCATTTCAGCTTCTCCTTGTGAAGGTCCTCTCATAAAAAGCCCTTGCTTTTGGTTTTGCTTTTTGTGGGCAAAATGCATCTTGCTATGGAACACAGTTGGCAGTGGGTGAAGGAATGTAGGTTGCACTCTTATCACAGCAGAAATTTGTGCTTGGACCATCTGACCTCCCAATTGGAGGTTGTTTGGTTTTTTGTTTTTGCACCTCAAAGAATGCCTGTAAACAGGGACAGTTTATCATTTTGATAATCAACTGAACTGACAGGAAAGAAACAGCTATTCTGGAGCTACTAATGGTACAGAGAACATTTAACTATCATGTGTCTTAATTATGAGATGAGGTTTACCATCTCATCTCAGAAGGTGATTTGTTAGTTGTGGGTTCTGAGGACGGCCAGAAATGGACACAGTGATGATTTAATGTAGATGTTGGCATCTGGCAATCACTGGACCAATTCTGGCTCACTGGCTGGTGTAGATTGGCACCCAAATTGCCAATCTCAAAGGCAAAGGAACAGTTTGGGCAGCTGATCAAGGGAGCTGGGCTTTGGTTCATCCTGCAACAAAATTTGTTATTGATTAGGAATTTGGTGGTCAGGTCTACATGCACAATTAGTGGCCTCTTCAGTTAAGAAGCACCATAACATCTATCCCCTCCCCAAATATATAAGGTTCACAGTTAATATTTCTGAATTTTGGGATACTAGGGACCTGGATTTTTTTTCTGGCCCTGCCTCTTCTTGTCTGTAGGCTGGAGCTTCTTTGACTGCTAATCCTCCACCAGAGAAGGGAGTCTCTTGTCTAGACCTGTTGTGTAGACTGAGGATGGAATGTTCTCTGGATCAGGCAGCTTTCTATTTCATCCTTTTAATTACAGCCATGCTTTGAGAGCAATGTACCATCTTGAAAACCCTAGTGATGCACAAATGGTCACAAGTAAGAAAGTCCCATTGTACTGTACCCCATTATGTAAGATCAGCAACCAAGGTTGCTAAATCTTGGTCTCATTTTTTTATTGCATTTGCAGAGGGGCAGCTGCAGCAGGGGGCAGGGGAAGAGTCTTGTGGCTCCTTAAAGATGAACACATTTATTTCAAGTTTTCTAAATGGAGCTCTTTATCCCAGTTGGACTCTATATCAGATTTGATCTGATGTATGTGCTGTTGTTGTTTTGAACTGTGTTTATATATGCAATTGCTTTATTTATTTTTTATATATGTAACAGTTTTATAGATAGATAGATAGATAGACCATAAGTATTGTAAAACACTTTGGAATGTGTCAGGAAGGGATTCATAAATGAAATAAATAATCATAACTATGGCAATAAGCTTCAGTGGACTAATATTAGTTGCTTTCTCTTTTTAAGAATTCTAAAAGGGTAGAGGGTTTTTTCTGACCTTGCCTACAGAGATAGGTCTGCAAACAAGATAGGATAGGCTATTTCTCTCTCTCTCTCTCTCCCTCCCTCCCCCACGCTTCCCTGCTATGGAATACTGCAAGGTCAGAACCCAGTGGGATCAGAGCCTTAAAGCATCACATTCAGCTGCAGTTGTGTGTCGGAGGCTAAACCATTAATTTAATTACTCACAGAACAGCTCTGTCTCAGCTGAAATCCTTAAAAAGGCATTTCTCCACATCTGTGCCCCTGCATCTTCTGGGAGTAGCTTGCAATTAAGGTCGAGCTTGGATGGAAACATTGTGTGCCCAGTTCAGAGTATAGGGGTTTGATGTTTGGGGTAGCAATGAACAAATTTTTAGAGGGGTGGGATTTATTCACAGTATGGCACTCTGCATTTGAGCTTTCCTGGTGGTGGTGGTGGTGGTGGTTGTTGTTTAAACAGCTCTGCACAGTCCACAAAGGATACAGTCTCAAACCATTTCAGCTGAGCTGGTGGCAGGAGCCCAGTAAAGGCTCCATTGAAATTATGGAGGTTGTGCAGCAGCAGAATGAAGCGGCAAGTGATGAAAGCCATTACGGAGTACATCAGTGTTTCTCAAACTTGGGTCTCCAACTGTTTTTGGACTACAACTCCCATCATCCATAGCTAGCAAGACCAGTGGTAAGGGATGATGGGAACTGTATTCTGCAAACTTCTGAAGACACAAGTTTGGAAAATACTGGAGTGTAGATTATACTGAGCTAGATGAATAGATAGTCTGACTGGTAAGAACATAAGGAGAGCACTGCTGGATCAGGTTAAAGGCCCTGCTATTCCATCACCCTGTTCTTGCAGTGGTCAATGGGCAGGGCATGAAAGCAAGAGCCCTCTGTTGCTCATAAGAATGTAAGAAGAGCCTAGGTACTTGATCAGGCGAAATGCCCATCTAGTCCAGTACTCTGTTCTCATAGTGGCCAAGCAGATGCTTCTAGGATGCCACAGGCAGATCTTGAGCTTATCAGTGCTCTTCCTACTTGTGATCCCCATCAGCTGGTATTTAGAGAAGTACTGCCTCCAGCAATGAAGACAGAACACAGCCATTGTGGCTAGTATCCATCAATAACCTTCTCCATGAATTTGTATGATTCTCTTTTAGAGCAACTCAAGCTGGTTGTCACCACTACATCTCATAGAAGCAAATTCCATAGTTTTACTATGCAAAATCCTTTCTTTTATCTGTTCTGGATCTTCCAAGATTCAGCTGTTAGTCTTATGAGAGAGGGAGAAAAACTTCTCTCTGTCCCCGTCTCCAAACCTTGCATAATTATAATTGCATAATAAGACAGCTTCCTATGTTTCCAATGGAATACAGTCATTTTAGGCAAATAAAGTCTCCCTTCATATGAGGCACCTCATGCTGAACAATTCACATAGAAGAACCTAATTTTCATTTAGTTCATGTGAGAACATCCTCACTCTTGGTCCTGCACAAGTCTTACGTAACTGCTTCTGAAGCAGGGGAAGGTTCATCTCAGGCAGCTATGCTGACCTGCTTGACATCTTGTGTCTCCTCCCTTGATGCTGTCTGGAGAAATTTGCTTTATATTCCCTTTCCAAGCAGATAGGCCTGGGTGACATGTACTCAGCATTATAGCCTTGCAGTGGCTTGTAGCAAGACTGCTTTCTTTGGCTCCTCAGCCCTCTCAGACAGCAAACAGTGTGTGTGTTAAAATGCTGTTCTTTCTGGGTGGGGGCACCTTTTCCTGCTCTATTTCAAGAGCAGCGTTGCACCTTCTTGGTTGATTTAAAGGGTTTAAAGAACTTGCAATGGATTTATCATATTAGTTTTAGGATTCTTCCAGGCTGTTGCTGCTTTTCAGGTGGGATTCAGTCACATGCCAGCCAGTTCAGGTTGCTCAATTGTAGTTGATGCACAACAAGCCCACTTCCCCCAAATATCGGACTTCTTGCAACAAGAAAAGTGCTGGGGAAAATGTCTTTGGAAGTGTAGGATATCACTTGCTTTGATGCAGCATTCTCTAGGCTCCCTGCAGACAAATCAGATTGAACGTTAATTAAAAAGCCAAAAACTAATGTCCAAATCAGGATAAATTCTCAATAAGCAAGTTGTCTGGGAGTGTCTGTAGCTGGCTAGTTGATTTAATCCAGGGCTGGGCCCCTATTTTTCTGTTGATGGCCACGTTCCGTCAGGCGGCAGCCCTGTGCTGGTACAAAAGTCCACCTGAGGCTTCAGGTTACCCACCTATGATATTATCAATCAGTTTAAATCTGCATATAGGTATAAACAGTATGTTTGAGATGAGATACATATTTCCTTTGTTTTTCGGCTGATGCACACACGTCTCAAATTTTAGACCCCAAAATGGACTTCTGCCACCATCAGTAGCTTTCTCTCATGTCTGATGCACGCTGAATTTGTCACCTGTTCCAGATTAGCTCCAGATTGGTGACTGCTAACTTTAGAAAGCAGACAGGAAGTGGGGGGAATATCATTAAAGATAAACTGCTTTAGCGATTAGCATAGGGAACAATTAACAGGAGGCTTGTTCCCTCCTTGGGAATGAGAGAACAGTTGCAGCTGGGTGTGCAGGATTTTGTTGAAGTCTAGAGATAACTTTACTTGTTGGCAACGGAAGTCCATTTACATACTGAGGGGCTTCTTTGATGCCTGAACATTAATTCTTAAATTGAAGGGGGTTTGTACTATACCCTTACCGTCTGTAATATACAATAGATGCTTCTGATTAAGTGGACTCCTAATCCACAGATCAATCTAAAAGGTAAACATGTTACAGTGGTACCTCTACTTACGAGCACCTCTGGTGAAGTATCCATCGGGATACACATGTGGCAAACCTGGAAGTATTTTTCCGGGTTTTGCCACATGCACAGAAGTGCTCTACCACGCCGCGCGCATGCGCAGAACAGGCACCTCAGGTTGTGAAAACCTCGGGATCCAACCGGAGCTCCAGAATGGATCCCGTCCGCAACCAGAGGTACCACTGTATTGCTACTTCAAAAAACCGCCAAGAGGGAAGTTCAAACAGCAGTAATGACTCCTTCTCAGAATCCAGACAGGTTCCTCAGTAGCTTGCCCTTAAAGGCAGTGATTACTAGCCATGGCAGCTATGGTCTCAATCCATGGTTGGAGGCAGCATGTATCTGAAAACAAGTTGCTGAATCACAAGTGAAGAGAGTGGCTGTTATATTCAGGTCCTGCTTGCAGACTTCCCAAAGGATCATCTAGGCCCTTACATTAAGGGGACTCCAGAAAGATTTACATGATTATGAGTGTTAGTCTTTGGGGCTTAAGGTGACATACTGCAAGGAATTATTTGCTCAGAGTGGTTTGGTCCTTTGTACAGCAGAGTGTAAACTCTTGCATTAGGTGCTCAGCAGGTGCACCAGGGACAAAATGGATTTGCTTGCTTTCCCAAGTGACCATCAGGAGGTGGGTGCTGCAGAGAGTGCTTTCCAGTTGCAAGCACCCTGTAGGAGCAGCCCACTGATGTGAAGTGCTGCTTTTGGGCAGGTCTAAGAATGGTCCTTTGTAATGTTACAGGGAAAGTAAAATGCTGCCTCTTGTGAGTTTTCTTTCCAGGATGTGGCAAGTTGTCATTCTTTCCACCCTCACTCTTGTGAGTCAAAACCTATGTGAATAGACAACCTGAGTCTTGGGAATGGCCAGCAATTTCTTTCTTTACTTGGGCACTGTCCCTGGTGTCTGTCCAACTGCTAAACTTCCAACTTTTAGTTGAAGCATTAGTCATGTATCCACTTTGGCAGCCCGTCACCTCCCGGATGTTTCTTTAGATGGCCACTTGCCTTGCGACTCTCCAAGGGAGAGGCATAAGAACATAAGAAGAGCCTTGCTGGATTGGATTAATACTCCAGCTGGTCTAACAGCATCCTGTTTCCCACCATGGCCAACCACATGCATCTGGGAAGCCTGCAGCCAGGGCATGAAGGCAGATCCTCTTCCTATTGTTGCTCCTCAGCAACAAGTGATAGAATGCCTCTGAACTCAGAGGTTTCATGTAGCCATCATGGCTAACAGTCATTGAAAGATTCACCATTCATGCATTTATAACACCCCACCTCTTTAACAACTCCTTAACCTAGTGGCCATCACCAGACAAGGCATCCCTGAGGTCAAATAACATTCAGTCCCATCTGAGAGTAAAATTTAAAGGAGGAGAATCCAGCTTTCCTATCTGTAATCTCAGTTCCATGTCTTTTGCAAACACATTACTCATCCCCCCCCCCCCGGATATCTCCAGTTCATTGCAAAGTCATTTCAGATTTATGAGGTTTAAACAAATTTGCCTTTTTATTGCTTTTGTTTTAATTCCAGGACATATTATGCAAATTTAGTATGATTTATGCAGTCTAGATTTTGTGTGTGTGTGTGTGTGTGTGTGTGTGTGAGAGAGAGAGAGAAAATAATTTTCTTAGGGCAACACTTTGTATTTTGAGATTCCAAATTGAGGGACTGAATTTCTCTAGGCTCCTTTTTGAGTGACTCTGTGTGTGTGTGTGCACACACACTCTTTGCATGCATGCTTTGCACTGCACTACAAAATTAGTTGCACCTCCCCCTCAAGCCCCCAGCCCTGTCCCATATGCTCAGTCTCATACAGAGTTAATGTGCAGGTATAAAAATAGCTGTTGCACATGCCACTTCAGAGATCCCAGTTAACAGGTGTACAGAGGATGCTTTCTAGTTGAGCTCACCTGTCTGTCAGTGTGTCTTTTTGAAATGCTGGGAGTACAGACATGTGGTTGGGTAGAAAGAGCAGTACTGAAGCTGATTTGTCTCAAAATCTGAAACTTGGGGTTGACTTAAAAAATAAATAAATCAAAAAGTGGTTTCTGTAATGCAGCATTACAGAACTACGGACAGTAGACCTTGGACTGGCCTTCTTAGGCAGCCAAAACATAGCATAATTGAACCTGATAAGTGTGTCAGACTATCTCCAAGGCCCATTGCAATAATGGGCAAGTGTCTCATTCTCATTGCAGAAAACGGGTGCACGATCCTGCTGCATTCTTACACTTCTGCAATCTCCAGTGATAATAGCATTTTGTAGACAACTTTGATTACTTGACATCTCTGTGTGTGTGTGTGTGTGTGTGTGTGTGTGTGTGTTTAAAAAGATATTCCTGATGTAAGAGGAGAAAGATTAAAGTCCGGATGATTTGCAAAATACCCAGAGCAAATTTCATTGTGGAGCTGCTTTTATAGGCGTAAGTTATGGATCATAGGACAAAAATGTCTTCAGACTAGAAGAAAAAAATAGACTGTAGAGTACTTACTGTCATCAATAATTTCTATAGTTTTCCCACCATATACACATATATGCCAGCACTTCCCAACCTGGTGCCCTCCAGATGTTTTGGACTACAAGCAGTTCTCATCAGCCCCAGCCAGCACACCCACTGTAGTCTAAAACATGGAGGGCACCATGTTGACGAAGGCTGATATATAGGGTGTTACAGTTTTCATTTTATCCTCACAACTTCTCTGCCAAGTTGGTTAAGGTTTGAAAGGCAAGAGGCTCTTGCCTAAGGCTTACCCAGTGAGTGGCCTTTCATAACTCTCATTCTTCATTCAAACCTCACCCATGTTCAGATCTTGCCCCATTGTTTCCCATTTGCACTGCTTGGCTTAAAAAATAAAAGTTGTTTAATTTTATATTCTTTACAATCCCTTGTTTGTAAGAGTTTGGGGATGGGGAGAGAGAAAGGAGGAATGTCATAATTAAACTAAAGTGTGTGGAGAAAGCTTACAAGTGTATATGGAGCAGCATGATACACAAGCATAGAAAACTGAGTCTTATTCTAAGTTAGACCATTGGTGCATCTTGCTCATTACTGTCTGTTGGACAGTGACAAGAGTTTCCTTACTGCATAGCTTTGGAATCAGTGGCCCATAATGTCTGCCAACCCCTGTTGCTTCTTGACATTCTCCATAAACTAATGGTGCTATTTGGGAAAATGTAAGCAATAAGTTGCAACATGATCAAGCTCCATTAGTGCTCTTTTTCTCTTTTTCTAATAACCATTGTGTTCTAAGTTGCTGTGGGGTGAGGCGTTTGTGGCCCTAGGATCACATTCCCTCCTAGGGGCCATATGGCAGTGGTTAAGCAAGGCCAGAGTCAATAGTAAGCAGAGCAGCAAAACATAGATGTTACCTTTTTACATTAGGTTGGTTTCTACACTTGCACATGCCTCTCTGTCCTCCAGCCATGCAAGCAGGAAATCTTATCAAAGTTCAAGGACACATTCTAGCCAGGTGAAAACACAGGAGAGTGTGAAGCAAGATAAGTGAGGGGTATGGCCTGGGAAGAGTCTCAAGGGCCAGATAGACAGGGCTAGAGGGTGCAATTTGGCCTGAGTTTCCCAGCCCTGATTTAGGAACTACAGTACTATGCATCCTGGTGTGTCAGTCCAATCAGATCATGCAATCTAATCCTGAAGGTGCAATTTTTAACCCAGACATTGGGCAAACCTTCACAGTTAGTTCTTGTTTTTTTCTGTTTTTCCAAGCTTATTATTAGCACTTGCAGCCACATATGGGATTCACAAAATACTTACAGCTGAAGTCCTAATGAGGGTTAAAAAAAAATGAACCACTGGTTTTCAAAGACTGTAAGAGGCCTATGCAGTGAGGCTCTGCTGTTAAGGCAGTCTTGAGCAAAAGTTGTGTGTGTGTGTGTGTGTGTGTGTGTTGTGTTTTATATTAAGGGGCAATGTTGAGACAATGCTGCGGCTGAAAATGAAAAGGGCAGGTAGGTGGAAGTGAGAGGAACATAATTAGAAAATCTGGCAGCCACTAGGCAACCTGTTTTAGGGAAGGGAGGAAGAGAGAGAGAGAGAGAGATAAAAGGATGTAATTAAATTTGTTAGCAAAATAAAGACACACAATGTTTCTTTTGTTGTCTTTAGGGTTTGTTAACCTCCCAAATGTGTGTGCGCGCACTCGTGTGTGTTTAAAGCATCACAGAATGTAGCGACACACATGCACCAACTACCTTCAATGAAGTTGCCTTTTTGAAACCTTGACTTAAAAGACAAGAACATGTTCCCTGTTGTGCTATTCTGTGTAAAGTCTTGTTATGTTCAGGATGATCTAGTGGAACTTTTGTTTTGAATATAAAATAGTAGATCACAAAACAATTGAACTTGGCCCAAAATATGTCCCTTAGGAAGTGCATGGCGTGTCAATTCTTCATTCTTTTGCCATTCCAGAGGCAACAGAAGGCTGTAGGAGGAACTGGGAGCCCTACTCCTGGGACTTGCAGACCTGTCTTTGCCTCCTTCTTAAAAATGGCCTTCTGGCAAAATAAGTTACTGACTAAGGTAAGCATGCAGTTGTTAGGCTTGTTGTAAAATAAGTAAGAGTTGGCAAGGAACCTACATCTCCCACCCAGCCATCATTAGGTAGTTTAGCTTTCTTGAGCAGCAACTGAAAGGGAGAAAGGGCAAAATGCTGTTTGAAAGCAAAATATTGGCTGTGGCTAATAATGAAAATGAATCTGGCAGGCGCCATAATAAAATGTATTGGAGATTTTATCCCACCATCCTCCCAAAAAATTCTCCTGCATAGCTTTAATTAACAAAAGTCACTGTTTTCCCCTTCTCTGGTGTTAACTTATTTATAGGCCAACCTGCATGTTAAAATCAGTAAATAACTTCCTGTGAGTGTTTTTAATAAGGATTTTGAAGAGTATCAGACTCTCTGGCACTGTTTTGATATGTTCATGTGGTTTTCATTTAGTGCAAGGACCTGAATTACATAAGCATAGTCAATAAAGCAGGATATAGCAAGCCCTTCTGTTGTCCAGATGTTAGATGGGATAAAAAACAAGAAAGATGAGATAAAAAACAAGAAAAAACCCCAGCAACAAACAAACACAACAACGAAACAGAAATTATGGTGTGGAGTTAACCCCATTTATGCTGAAAAAGAACCAACTTCAGTAATGCCTCCCTTGTCACCTGGTGGTAATTCTAACAGGGGAAGGGGCCGTAGCACAGTTATAGGGCATCTGCCTGAAACCCTGGTGCTGCCAGTTTGTGAAGACATTACTAGATGGACCAATGGTCTGATTTAATATAAGACAGCTTCCTGTGTTCTTAACTGGCCAAGGGTGACCAACTAAAGAGACTGTTTACAAGCATGTGTAATCATTTGGTTGTAAGCAATTCATGTTTCTGAATAATGCAAGCAAATGTAGTGGTCTAAAGATGCTTGGGGATATTTCCACAGTAGGAGAAATGGTCTTTGTTTGTTTTGCTTTGCTGAGAGATAGAGCTAAAGACTGTATGTGGGGGTTTTCCCTTGCTCATGATTTGTGAGGGATGTGTTTGGTAGCAGAAAAGTCTGACATTTGGGACAGCATTCCTCCATGCTGATAACCTGATCAAAATCTTTCTGTGGCAGGGCACTGCCAGGGACACACAGCATGCATTCCAGCACCTCTGTCCAAGTGTAACACGGTTTTGGAAGCCATTCAAAGAAAAAGGTGCGCAGATGTGTCCTTCATTGCTAGACAGTCACATGATTGATCCAGTGCTGCTTTGAGATATAGGAAGCTCAGTGGACGCAATGAGCTGAGCATTTGTGCATCTCGAGTATTTGGAGAGAAGCTGGCAGGCCCCCTTTCCCTCTCAGTGGGAGTTGCACGAAACTCAGTGCAAGTTGCTCAGGTGATAACAGGGAAAGTAAAGGGGAGACATAGAAAATCCTAATACTGAAATACATCAACCAACTGCCAGCTGTCCTAGTGTCATATTTACGTGCTGAGAAGAAGACATGGGTTTAAACTGTCTTCATCTTAGCTGTCTCAGCTCTCCACTCCCCTGCCTCCAGTAGTCTTCTGAAAGACTGTGTCAAGTCTGGGTGGTTATTTCTTTGTTGTTATCCTTCTCTCTCCCCCCCCCATTATTAAAAAGGCAAGGAATGGGTTAATTAAGTACCACTCAGAGCAATTGGCTGTAACTACCCTTCTTGATCACTATTCAAGACAGAAGCTGAGGCCAGTTTGGATTGTAAACAACAACATCGACCTCTCCCCCCCCCTTTATGGCTTGTTGGTATGTTTGTGTGAGGAGGAAGAAAGGGGAGGCCTACAATCAAGCATGCTGTAAATCATCAGTGTGGTTGGTGCTGGGGGAGGTCCTCCTGGGTGGGGAAGAGAGGTGATGTGGGGGAGGAGGTGGGAGAATTCTAAGGTAATGAGATGATGAACTTTGGAGAGGGGTTGCTATACAATGGCCACAAGAAAAAAGAGAACTAAAATAAAAATGAATTAGATAGCTGACATAGCCCTGAGTCAGACATACTCAAGAGAAAGGAATTGTAGTTGGATGGTTAGAGGTTTGCTTGTTTCCTGAACTGGGATGACGCATACGAAAGGCTTCACATTTCCTGCAGAAAGAATCCACATTGTGGAAGGCTTTAGGGGATATTTTTTTAAGGGGGAGGAATGGGTTTTTTTGGACTGGGTTTATTTGAGCAGTTCGTTCTGAGGTTTGGTTTTGGAGCAATTTTTGCTTTTCTGCTGAAGGAGTCTTTCAGGATTTCTTCTTAGGAACAGTCTGTAACTCAGTGGTCACATCATTTGCAAGGTCCCTAGAACTCATGGGAATCCAATGAAGCTGAATGTTGGAAGACTCTGGACAGATAAAGTATTTCCTCACACAGCACATAGTTAAACTATGGAACTTGCTCCCATAGGAGGAAGTGATGGTCACTGACCTGGATGACTTTAAAAGAGAGTTGGACAAATTCATGGCTACTGGCTATGTTCTTGCCTCCACAGTTGGAGGCAGTAATGCTTCTGAATACAAGCTGCTGGAAATTGCAGGAGGAGGGGAGTGTTCTTGTGCTTAGGTCTCACTTGCAAGTTTCCCACAGGCATATATGGCTGGCCATTGTGAGAACATGGTGCTAGACTAGATGGGACACTGGCCTGATTCAGCAGGCTTTTCTTATGTCCTTCTGTCCCCAGGTTCAGTCCCCAGCATCTCCAAGTAATGCTGGGTATGTCCTCTGCCTGAAACCCTGGAGAGCTGCTGCCAGTCTCTGCAGACAATACTAAACTACATGGACCAATGGTCTGACTCAGTATAAGGCAACTCCCTAGTGCAGTGCTTTAAAAAATAGCAGAATATTTAATTGCACTATGGCCTATTATGTGATTTTCAGTAAAGTTACTTTGCTTTTGCACACTTGCACATACAGATTAATTTAGAGCTGTTTATTCTATGTTTTCCTCTTCAGGCAGTAAGTTCATAATTTTGATCAGGAATTTTTTTAGGCTTTTAAGGAAAATTAGAGGACCAATTTGCATGCTTACTGAAAACGAAGACTCTTCAGTGTTAGGCTGTTGTAAGTGAGATCCATATTTTCAAAGTATAGTCCTGTCTTATGGAATGCTACCTTAATATATCAAATCAGACTATAGGTCTATATCATTATCTGCCCAATTAGCTGTGATTTGTTTTCACTGTTTAAATAATTTTTAATATGTATTTTTATTGTTGCAAACTGCTTTGGGATTTCCTTTAATGGAAGAAGTAATTCTAATACATAAATAATATACCAGCCTTCCCCAAAGTGGTGCCCTCCAGATACTGAACTAAAGCTCCTAGCAGCCCCAGCCAGCATGGCCAACAGTTATGACTGGAGTTATAATCCAAAATATCTGGAGGGTACCAGGTTGAGAAAAGCTGATCTGCATGGACTGTCAGTGTTTCTCAGGGTTTCAGATAGGGGCCTTTCCTAGCTCTGCCTGGAGATGCTGGAGTTTAGATTACCAAGTGAATTAGAATCATTATTGTTTGCTTCCAAGCTTGGATGTGAAATCTCAACTGGAGATTTCTAATCAGATTGGCACACTGTTGTTGGATTAAAAACCCAAGGTGGTGGCTGCTTTATTTGGAAGGCTTTGTGTACCAGGTTGGGAATGGGTGGCTTGGTGGGAAGAAGAGAAGACCGCAAGTTCCTGGCTTTATGTGGGGGTCAGACGGTCAGCAAGGATGATAGAAGGCTTGCAGTTGGCTAGGGTCCGCCATCTGGCAATCATAAAACCGGCAATACACATTTTAAAGAGGAGGAATGGCAAGGGAACAAGCTGCAGACAGTTGTCTTAAGATCCTGCCCCTTAAGCAGACACCTTTTTTAGAACTCATTTTCTCTTTGCTAGCTGGGGTGTCTGCACTGAGGGTCAAAAGTTCGCACTGTCCAGATATATTCTCTCCCCCCCCCCCACCTCTGTGGACAAACTTTCCCCACCCAGCCTGCAAGATAGGAACTGCAATAAGGGGGCAAAAGAATGCAGGCGAATCTGACTTCTCTAAGCCAGCCACTCCTTGTGCTTTTCCTTCCTTCCCACATAGATGGAGGCTGGGGTCAGGAAAGATCTGATTGTTAGAAGTAGTTGGAGAACAAATTTCAAATGTAGCCTGAACATTTTAGAATGCTCTGGTTAGCCAAACTGGTGAAGACATCCTCCAAAAACAATAAGCTGCAAGTTCGCCCTTTATCCTTATTGTTTATGGACTGTCCCTCCCTGTTTTGTGTGCAGCCACAAATGTATAAAAGACTGTTCAACTCCCCTCCACAGCAGTGTTTCCTGTAAGCCAGGTTTGAAGAATATGGCCTCCTTTGTGAGGCTTCCACTTCAACCCCATCCAGTGGATTTATGGATTCAATCAGAATACTCTCTGCCCTATAATACTCATTAATATCAGAATGCAGCATTTCTCTCACATCTTAACAGTTTAATAAACTACCTACACAAAGCTGTCCGTCAGAGACTCAACAATTGCACTACAGTGGTACCTCTGGTTACGTACTTAATTCGTTCCAGAGGTCCGTTCTTAACCTGAAACTTCTTAACCTGAAGACCACTTTAGCTAACGGGGCCTCCCACTGCTGCTGCCGTGCGATTTCTGTTCTCATCCTGAAGCAAAGTTCTTAACCCAAGGTACTATTTCTGGGTTAGTGGAGTCTGTAACCTGAAGCGTATGTAACTCGAGGTACCACTGTACTGGCTTCTCAGAATATTGCAAGGTATGAGGAGGGTTGGGATTTTATAGATTTTGCCATTTTGATAATTCTCTGTGTTACCATTTTGGATCCTTGTCTTGCATCCTGCAAGGGCCAAATTCAGCCAGCAGGTCTGTATATCCAGCTCTCCCAAGCCGCTTTCCCTCCCATTGCTCCCATCCCTCTGAACAGCTGCTGGTTGCCTCCCAGTCAAGGCAGCCATTTTTCTCAAATGGCACAAGGTGAGTGCCCAGGAGTAAACTTGGCATTGGGACACCAACAGCTACAAGGGAGAAACACCAGCTGGCAGACAGGGACATTCTGAATATTTCAGGGATCAAAAATTCTGTACTTTGTGTCAGATTCTGTGCTGGATGTGTGAATCGACAAAGAGTGACATTCTGTCCAACCCTTCTGCAAAACAACTTTTTGGGAATGCAGGAAGCTGCTTTATACTGAACAAAAACATTGGTCTGCCTAGCTCAGCATTGTCTACAGTGACTAGCAGCAGTTCTCCAGGTTTTTTCAGAAAGAGGTCTCATTCAGCCCTACCTGGATTGAACCTGGGACCTCCTGTGTGCAAAGCAGATGCTCTACCACTGTGCCACACTCACCAGCCTTCTTCATTTCCACATATTACAGCCAGTCTGTCTTCATGCTTCAGTTACGTATTGTTTTGGGTTTTTAAAAATGCCCTGTTCAGGGGAATTGTTCTCCCTCACCCCTTTTACATTAGTGTAAGGACAAACCAGCTTCTCAAGCAAAGATAATGTGTAAAGCTGGAATAAAATAACGAGGCTCAAGGTGTGATTATTTTATTGCAGTTGCAGCATGCAGTCAAACCCAGGTATATTGGCAATATGTATGTGGTAAACTGTTTTCCTTTGCAGATGCTGCATCTCCAGTGTAACAGTTTCATTCTGGAATGCAGCACTGCACATCTGGTCTGCATTACCGCAGAGCTCTGTCATAAACGCCCAGAGAGCTACCTTGGCTTTTTATGTTGAAATGTTTGTATTACACAAATACCCCGTTGCCAAGCAATCTTTATTAAAAGAGCCAGTTTATGCTCCCTGCATTATAATAGAGAGGTGGGGGGGGGTCTCAGAAGGTCATATATGTAACACATCTGCAGCTCAAGTTCCTAGTCTCCAAGGGTGTGAGCTGTAGCTGTACTGGACGAAAGGTGGAAGCCACTTTAGTCTTTGACTGAATTAAACTTTTTAAAATCCCATACCGTTTTTGATAGTTCTGGTTATTTTACTGGAAGGGGTGGGGTGTGAGGAAACACAATGTACAATATTTTAAAAATCAAAACAAATGTAGGCTTCTTAGAAATTGCAACTGTTGCCATTCTTCCAGATGAATTTTCCCACCAAGAAAGGGTTGCCATCTTTTCTTTTTACCATCTCTGATCCTTTATCTTTAACTGCATTATTATTATTATTATTATTATTATTATCATCATCATCATCATCATCATCTTGTGCTGTCTTGGAGAAAATAACTTCATCAGCTAAATGGGAACAGGACCCATAAATACTTAGTAAACTCTACATCAAGAGGACTAGAAAATAACTGGGTTTGCTTGTTTAAGGGAAGGACTGTAGTTTAGTGGTAGATCATCTGCTTTGCAAGAAGGTCCCAGATTCAGTCCCTGACATCCCGTGGTAGGGCTGGGAAAGGACTCCTGTTTGAAACCCCAGAGTGCTGCTGTCTGTCATAATACTGAATGATATGGACCAAGGGTCTGACTGTGTAGAAAGGAGCTTTCTATGTTCCTTTGTCTTTTTAAAGAGAAAGATGTAAAGACACTAGGACTGCCAGCCTATATCCTGGTACAGTAGTACCTCAGGTTACATACACTTCAGGTTACATACACTTCAGGTTACATACACTTCAGGTTACAGACTCTGCTAACCCAGAAATAGTGCTTCAGGTTAAGAACTTTGCTTCAGGATGAGAACAGAAATTGTGCTCCGGCGGCGTGGCAGCAGCAGGAGGCCCCATTAGCTAAAGTGGTGCTTCAGGTTAAGAACAGTTTCAGATTAAGTACGGACCTCCGGAACGAATTAAGTACTTAACCCAAGGTACCACTGTATTGTCCCATTGGACTCAGTAGGGTAGACCTACAGTTAGTCCTACTCTGAGAAGACACATAGAAATTAATGTGCATGACTAACTTATGCCAATTAATTTCAGTGAGTCTACTCTGAATAGAACTTCGTTTGCTATAACTCAGTGGGATTTTCTTATTGACCATTTTATAAGACCACCTCGGCCTATCTCCCCTCAAAAAGGAGAGAAAGTAGCTACTATATATAGTGGGATATAGTCAATGTTTGTCCCCCTCAGAGTTAGACACACTGATGCTAAGGACAAACTTAGGTCCATTAATTTCAGTGGGTCCATTCTGAGAGGATCTTAGCTAGATCTAGCCCATTGCTTGTTTTGCTGTGGGGTTGGGTTTTTTTAAAAAACATAGTTTGGGATCATGGACCAGAACTTTTTGAACCAGCTCTGAAAAATTCACAGTTCTAAGCTGGTTTTCATTATGACGTTGGCTTATCTCCTTAATGACATACTATGGCTTTGCATTATGTGCAAACCAGGCCTGCACAAAATAGTGATTCATGCAGGTTTGTAGTGCAGATACTCCCTGCTGCTGCTTCTCCTCCCCCCACTTCAGTGTGAGCCAAGGTAGAAATTTTGGGAGAACTAGTTTGTGTGCTTACATTATCAGTTCCTTAAGCCTAGAGATAAATATTTTGCTCTTTCAGCTGCTTTCTTTTCTTTTTAAAGTAAAAGGGCGTTTCTCACACCACTGCAGAATCTTAGCAAGAGACATCAAAGCTTGTATGGCAGGAAAAGGAAGAAGGCTGGCTGGCTAAGCTTTTTTAGCATTGTGTCAGTCGCAACTGTCTATCGGAAACCACAAAAAAAAGAAGCTGTGCCTTAATCTGTGTAGACCTGCAGTCACAACATGCCTTGTGCTTGTCCAAGAGGCCACTTCCTATCCAGCAGTATCCTTCTGTCCTCCCAAATGGCTACTTCCTCTTTTCAGCTTCACTGGTGCAGTTCTGCTTCCGCCCCGAAGCATGTTGCTCCTCTGCTGTGCAGTCGGGACTTTCAAGCTTGGCAGCTCCTTTGCTTGCAGAAGTGAGTTCCTCTTAGGTCACGGCGTAAAGTGCATTTGCATGGGTTTGGCAAGGTGGAGGGAACGCCAATGCATCAAACCCAGTTGGCAAGAGGCCCTCTGGACGCTGTTTTAATTAGAAGCACCGTGAAAACTCCCTTTTGTGGTTTCACTTCTCAGGGCCAGAGTTGTGGGAAATGTTTTCTCCAGGTTCCAGCTGCCCTGGCTCTTTCAGGTGCATGTTCTGGCTCTTCAGATCCAGGTGAGCCTAGGTGGGGAAGGAACACGCAAGATAGCTCAGCCTTCCAGGTGTACCTGCCTCTGCCTGTGTTCCAAAAGAGGGCATGGTTGGGTAGGGAGCGTAGGTGCGGCCTAGATTTGGTACAAGAAGATATGTGTACTGAAATTCTCTGGCCTGTGGTTACAAAGCACATACACACACTTGCTGAGGAGTCAGGCAGACAAGGAAGCATAAGAACAGGCCAAAACCTGATATTCTCCTACATCCTGTTCTCACAGTGGCCAACCATATGAGCTCTGGTAGATCAGGTTAAAGGCCCATCTAGTCTAGCACTCAATTCTCACAGTGGCCAACCAGATGCCTATGGGAAACCTGCAAGCAGGACCTTAGTGCAACAGCATTCTCCCCGCTTGTGATTCCCAGCAACTGGTATTCAGAGGCATTTGCTGTCTTAACAGTGGAAGCAGAACATAGCAGCCAATATCTGCAAGGCCACATTCACCATTGCCTGCTTTTGAAACATCCCTGACCCAGTGTGCTCACTGTCTACAGTCCATCACAAACAACAGAGGAAAATCAAATGAAGGCAGGTTACAAATGGGGAACAATATGCCTTCAAAGGTGGGAGGGTGTTCCTGAGTAGCGTCACCTCGTTATTCTCACTGCTATTGGTCTAAAGTGCCCTAGTGCTTAGGAGGAGGAGGCAAGTCAAGCAGCAGCTGCTTCTTCGTACTCCGGTCACTACTTGCTCACTAGGAAAGGGCAGGCGAACAGGCAAGGAGGATTTAGGAGCCTCCAGAGGGCAGGCAGGGGGTTAGCTGTGGGCTCCAGTAGATGCCTGATGATGCCAGCCTCTGGTTCATCTTCTTGTGGTGAATTTTATTTCCTGTCCCTCTGACTCTTTTGACCATCTGCCCCCAATAGGCATACATTCCCCCCTTCCAGGCTCAGTTCTCCCACCCATGCCACTTCCACCACCCCCTCTCACTTATTAGTTCAGCTCCATTTTAAGCTTCTTCCTGGGAAGACTGCCAGAAGGTGCATGAGCAGACAGATATGCTTCAAAGACAGTAGATGGACTTTGTGATGAGTGTGTGTGTGTGTGGATTTGGAATGGCCAGGATCCAGTTTTCCAAGAGCCCACCTGCATCCTCAATGCTGCATGGGAAATTGCTTTTGACACTTGCTGCATAATCCTTTGTATACTTGGTTGCAAGTCTCACCATTTTCAACAAAGATTTGCTCCCTTAGTGTTTCAGGGCTGCAGATAAAGAGGTACCATTGTGTCGGGAAGGTAAACAGCGTTTCCTTGCACTCTGGTACTCAACACGGTGTCCCGTTGCACCAGAAGCGGTTTAGTCATGCTGGCCACATAACCCAGAAAGCTGTCTGTGGACAAACGCCAGCTCCCTTGGCCTGAAGCGATATGAGCGCTGTACCCCATAGTCACCTTTGACTGGACTTAACGGTCCAGGGGTACTTTACCTTTACCTTTTTTCACCTAGTTTGCATGTGTTTGTCTCATGAAGTTCTATTTTGTAATTTGGGTTATATAGATAAAATTAAATAAAAATACATTTTATAAAAATAGATTAGTCTACTGACTTCCTTAAACACACACACACACACACACACACACACACACACACGGTGTGGCCAATGTGGCTACTGTAGGCAGTAAGATTCTTGTCAAAGATTACAGTCTGTCAGTGGCATTTGTGGTGAAGAAGCACTATATTATAGTTGCACCCTTAAAAACTGTGAGTATCTTTGTCTCATCCAGTGGGTTCCCTTTCTCTTTAAAACATAAAGAGGAAGTAGAGATGCCTACTGGGGTTATTTTTCCCAGCACCCCATGCATGGCGACTGGGCTGAGCCCTGCTTCTCTCAGGGCTATTTAACAGCCCCATTGATATTCAAAGTGCATGGCTCCATTTGAATGATCTGGGCCAAAAGACTCACTGATGGTTCTTCCTCACAAGAAAAAGACAAGCTGATTCCTGCTCTTCACAACATTGCACATTCTCTTTATTTTTCAAAACCAAGCCAGGTGACTTCCTGATTCCTTTATGATGTCGGGCTTGAAGGTTGCTGTTATTCAAAACTTCTCCCCTTCTTCCTTTGCAAGACAACAGGCTATTGATGGCTTGAATTGGTCAAAAACCAAATCATCCCCTCTCCTGTGATACATATAACTAAATGGTTCTATAGCCAGAAGGCTAAGTGTTGCACCTCCCTTTTCTCCTTATTATGTTGTTAATAAAACCTTGAAAGTGTGATACCTTCTCATTTCTCAGTACCACTGTCTTGCCACAGAGAGATTAATTCATTCATGCCTAGTGTTATCAGTGCTGATAATAAGATGAAAGCATAGGGTTTCTAGGACTGCTTTGTTTCAAAGCATGGATATGACTGGTCTCCACAGTATGACGGAGCTCTTCCAAAACCTAGCTAATTAAATGATATCATTGTGGCACCCAAACTCAATTTTGCTAAATCCTTCTCCCCAATATGAACTGGTATGAATCTTCTTAGTGGCTGCCACATGATCCACATGTAGATGCATTTCTTTGTGCTCTTGCTTTCCTTACATCCCTCAACTTTTAGTTTACAATAAAACTTGGGAACTAAGATAAGGCAGAAACCATAGGTACATAGGAAGCTGCCTTATAATTAGTCAAGCCACTGGTCCATCTAGCTCAGTATTATTAGCTGCTCTCCAGAGTTTTAGGCAGGGGACATTCTCAGCTCTTCCTGAATATGCTGGAGTTTGAACCACACACCTTATGCATACAAAGCTGGCGCTTCCATTGAGCTACGTTGTGAGTTGTGGGTAATGTATGCTTTCTAATGCTGCAAAGAAAAACAATTGAGTAGAGGAACGTTGCATTTATTACGCCACGAGATCTTGTGCAGCCTTACAGTAGTTTTTGAAATGTGGGACCGTCAACACCAGAATCATTGCTTGATTTGCTGCTGGAATTGTACCGCATTAGGGGTGCATTTTAAAATACCTCAGTGTGAAATAACATCTGTGTGTGTGTGTGTGTGTGTGTGTGTGTGTGTGGTGGGGACATGTTGACTGGAATTAAAAAGCAGAATGTGCTTTCAACCCATTCAGACTGCAGACTGTTAAAGAGTATAAATTAAGATCCAGGGAAGGAGGGGGTATAGCTTATCCAGTGGAGTTGCCTATCGGTGTTCATGTGCAGAATTAGGTCCCATTTCACATGAGTACAGATTGAAATGATACCAGTTTTTAGCCAGAGTCCAGTTGCTCACGACAGAGTCCCTGAGATAGCCTTTCAGCAGAGAACAAAGTGTTCATCCCTTGACGCATGTCCCAGAAACCTCAAAAAGAAAGAAAGGGGGTGGGGGACAAAATCCAGAATCCTTACTTGAGCACTACACTTTTCCATCTATTCCGCAGGGTGCTTCTATCACTCAAAATGTCCCTTCTGCCCATCAAATGCTCTCATCCTGCCCTGCCATTGTAAAACACCCCCAGAGTTCAAGAGGTCATAGCCTTTGCATGCCCTCCCCTACCTGCTTTTATTACTTTCCGTTGCCTTCTCATGACTTGGCATTTCATTACCATCAGCAGCTCTTGCCGAGGTATCAGACAGGTCAGGGATGGGCACTGTGTGTTTCCTCTCTCTTTTACAACTCTCTCTGGTGTCTTTCTCAAGATCCCTTTATTTCTTCAGCGGCTGGACAGAGAGTATAAATAACTCCCCAACCTTTAACACGTGTGCTGGTTACTTAAGAGAGAGTGGCTTGTTTGCTTAAGTGCTTGACAACTAAGAAGATCCCCCCCCCCTTTTAAAAGAAAAGAAAAGAAAGAGGGAGGTGCACATCTCCTGAAACCTATTGTTGTGGGATTTTAAAAGTCTCTTGTCTCTAATAAAACAAAGGGGAGTGAAGGAGGGCACCAAGGGAAGAAGAGATTTTGTCTCCTATCTAGCCAAAACCTCCCCAAAATGGGGTCCTTCACTATAAGCTGCTTCTGTTTCAAATATAATAAGAACAGTACAGAAGCAACATTAAAGCAGATTTGATTTTAAAATGTAGGTCAAACTGCAGCGACTCAGTTTGGGGTGTGTGCATGTGTGTGCACATATTATTATTACGTATTTTTAAATCTGCATAAAGTTTAAGTAATTAAATATATTTTTGGCCTTCTTCACATCATCAGTAGCCTGCTGGGTCCTAACAGAGCCGACAAGTGCAATGGGGAAGCTCTCAGCTTTGTGCAGAAGGGCAGTCACGATTAAAATGCAACCACGATGGTTATGAATATGGGGGTGCCCTGAAAGAGGTTGTGGCACCATAATGACTGGTGCACTCTTTCTTTTGCTTAGGCTTTTGTGAGTCAACTCCCACGTTGTCAGTGGGCTGTAGTACCTTGTGCTGCAACGAATTTGTTGTTTTTACAGGTGCTGCAGGAGCTTCCATTGTTATTGTCATTTCAAACTGAAATGACTGCACTTCTGGAATTAAATGAGATTGAGATTTTATGCGTGTGTGAGAAAAAAGGAAAAGGGAGTCATGCCAGTTATGATTAAAAGTCAGGAGATTGACAAAAACAGAGAAAATGGCAGTATGATGCAAAACCATGGTTTTTCTATACTATGTATTGAAACTATACTGTACAGTGGTATCTCGGGTTACAGACGCTTCAGGTTACAGACGCTTCAGGTTACAGACTCTGCTAACCCAGAAATAGTACCTCAGGTTAAGAACTTTGCTTCAGGATGAGAACAGAAATCACGCGGCGGCAGTGGGAGGCCCCATTAGCTAAAGTGGTACCTCAGATTAAGAACAGTTTCAGGTTAAGAATAGACCTCCAGAACGAATTATGTTCTTAACCAGAGGTACCACTGTACTTTGTATATTTTGTATTTTATTATTAGGCAGAGTTGGGGTTTCTTAATTGGTGGTTGTAAGCTGCTTTGTGGAAAAAAATCCTCAAAAAGCAGACCATGCATTTTTTAGCAAATAAAAATGTTGCTTATTCCAAACAAGTTTGACCAGTATATAAAATACATATTTATTTGTGTTTCATGATATAAGTTCTAGCCATGATCCAGAGTTCATAATTTGTGTGTTTGATGCGAGAGACTATTGAATGGAAAAGTTTGAGCAGCCTTATGCTAATTCCCTAAACTGCTTTTTTAAATTCAAAGAGTTTATCTTTTAAAAACACAGTGTGCGTTTCAGGTGAACTGCTAAAAGGAAAATTCACAGAATAACTTGTGTGCAAGTGTGCAAGTAGATGCCATGCACACATGCGTATTGATCTTTGACTCCATTTAACTGAGTGCCAATAAACAGGTAGGATTCTGTGGGTTGTGTCCAATGTTAGCCTTACTTAGAGTAGACCCACTAAAATTAATGGACCTAAGTAATGCCTATTCATTTTAATGGATGCTTTTCAGTGGGTTTGCTCTGAGTAGAACTGATATTGTATACAACCACATACCTATGGCATTTGTGCTTCTTTTGTTGTTAAGTCCTGGACAGTTTGCATAACTCAACATCTCTCTCTCTTTTCTTTTCTTTTCTCTCCCCCTTCATCTCCATCTGGTCGTGGTGCCACCTGTCTCTTCCTGCACTGAATGTTGTACAGGTAAGTAATGCCGTACTCCTTACTCAGCGTCTGCTGTGTTAATTTCACTGCTACCTCTTTGATGAATGTGTCCCACTTCTTGACTTGGAATAATGTATTTCAGCCTCTGAGTGACCTTTGGAGGATGTGCTTGAGCAGTTTTGCTAAGTGGTAGATGAGGATGGTGTGACATCTCAAGAGGGACTAACTGGCAGCTTTGCCAGTACTGCTGCTTCCTTATGGATATGCGCTAAAAATCAAATGCTCACTAAGGCATCTGAATGCCACAGCAATATAATATATTTTGCCCCTTGTTGTCACTTTGTTCTGGTTTCTTGTGAGCAAATCTTCAATATGCCTTGCTTCTTTTTTAAATAGTAAAGTCAGTCAAGTATCTTTCAAATAGGCCAGTTGCATATTGTTCGAGTACATGTGTGTTTGTAGTGGGGTGAGGTGCAGTTTGTTATGCAGTTTCCAAAACAATTCCCTCCCCCCCCAACACCTTTACTCTGACCAAATATTTTTTTAAATGGTATGGCACATTATAGCATATATATACTCTTTGGCCGAAATATATATTGCTAGAGATAATTTAGTTTGGCCTCCAGTTCTAAATATTTGCACTGAGGCAACACCAACATGACACCCTATTTTTGTGAAGCTGCCCCAAGATTATAACCAGCTGACCCTTGTGGGAAAACTTTCAGTGTTTGCAATCGTGTGAATGTTTAAAATACTGGTGGTCAGATTGGAATGATAGCACAAGCACCCTGCTATGCCTCTGACTGTGACTGTGACTGGCGAGACTGAATCGAGCATTTGGAGATCTATGAAACAAGGGTACACACTCAGCATTCCTTACTGCTCCCTTTGCCCATTGAAAATGATAATAGAAATTTTACACCCACCCACACCTACAAAGTTATTTATTGTAACCCACTCATGGTGCTTATGGTGTGACATACAAACGTAATAAGTAAATAGAATAAAATTGGGGAGGTGCACTACGCATCTGGAATTGGGCAATAAATATTTCAGATGAGAGAGTTAAGAGAGATTGTAGCTTCCAGGATACGTTTGTGTGAGAGAGTGGCCTTTCATAAGCAGGATAGTTATGCAAAATACTGTACTCCGAAATCCATGTTAGGTGCCCAGATACTCCTTTCCATAATATTACTTGTTCAGTCAGGGATGGGGAACCTGCAGCCCTACTGGTGCTGTTTCCCTTGTGTTGCATTTTGGGGGAGGGGCGTATCCATTTGTGCTCTGTGAAGCAGATATGACGGGGAACCTCTGCCCCTCTAGATATTGTTGAGGACTCCAAACTCCTATCAGCACTATCCATCATTGTAAGTGGTCATGGATGATGGGTATTGTAGCTCAGAAACAACAGGCTCCCTGTTGCCTGTGTTGGAGCATAGGGACAAAATAACAGTGTTCACCATCACCAGAGAAATAGCATGAATGAGCGGTTAAATAGCCAGCCCACATGAAGCTGTTTTTCACACCTGTCTCCTAGTATCAGATCTGGCACCTTTTGCATAAAATCTCACACCCTTTACACAGATTACTGTGTCCCTCAGGCTTTCAGAGTGACAGACTTTCCTGTTCTCGATGTCACTTGGGCAGTTAGATCCTGTAAGCATTGTGACATTTTAGTTGGCTGTGCTGTCACCCCTTTGCTGCTTTTGGGGATGCCCTGCATCAGATCCCAGCCATTATTATTTTTAAAAGTGTTATTTTCAATGTTCCATTGTTCTTGTTGTGAGGAGATCAGAAGAGCTCAAACTATATTATTCAGTTTTCAAGTATTATATGAATGATGGGCATCAGTTTTATTATGCTTATTTTTGTGTTGCGGACCTGTCAGAAGTTTTAATTCAGGTCCACATTGTAGTGCAGCAACATCTGGAGGGCCACAGGTTCCTCAACTGTGATCTTAGAAGGATCAAGATACATTCAAGTGATGGGAAACATCAATCTCACTGTCAGTCAGAGCAGATAATTCTGGACTAGATGAATGAATGAATCCTGTTATAAGGCCGCTTCTTATGGAAATCTTTGGACCAGAGCTGGATATTGTGGTTTGTCAACATCTGGCAGGTCTACACAGTGGCTGCAGATGTGGCTGAGGAGAACTAGCTATTTGTCAGTTTGGTAAAGGGATGGGAGAAGTGTATAAACGATTAAATGAGATGAGGAGATTGCTTCCCAGCAAAGCCTGTTTTTGCTAATGAAGAAATAGCTGCTTATCAGTCAGAAGGAGGTCTTTGAAAGCTTGTTCAAGGGTTAAAGTTACAGGCTGGAGTGCTCTTTACAGTCCTCTTAAGCATAAGGACTCCTTTGGAATGTGTGAAAGAGGCAAGTGATGTTGAAGATAAGAATGAACTCTGAACTGCCTTACTATGCTGCAATCCAGTTTGTGCATTAATGTCCCACAACAGAAAGAGCAGAATAAATTTCCCACACACTTGCCCTCTTTTTTTAAAAAAAAAAGTATGCGGAAATCGCTTGGTTATTAAGATCCTTGAGAATAAATGAATATTACACAGGCTTCTGAAGTGGAATAAAATAATTAAGTGGTGTTCTACAGTGGATAATAAATAATTAAGCCTGGCTCATGTTTTAACTGGAAGGTGTGTTCAGACTAATTTAGTCAAATGTGACTGTTTTGAATACGTATTTCATTTATTTACACCAGTGGAATGGTAGATAGATAGCAAAAGCTCTTTGTGCAAAGCATTTTGCATTGATGTAGCTAAATCAGTGCTAGTTATAAAGTATGTGTATTCTGACACCACATTCTCAGGGAACAGTTTCAGGGAACTGGAGACTCAGAAATGTGGTGGAAAAGAGCAGTGCACCAATTGGCACAGTGATAATCACTCAGTGGGGTGGGCACTTTAGTGGGAGGCAAAATCCCCATTGCAACTACAACAGGGGTCAGTAAGGTTTGTCTTGCCTGGGCTGGATCGGTCCCGCGGAGATCCCTCTGTGGGCCGGATTGCGTGTGTGTGTGTGCACCTACGGTTTTTGGCATCTGTGCATGCGCAGACGCGATTTCCGGCACCATGGAAGTGAGTTCCTGCACCGTGCTGCAGCGGTTTAGCACAGCGCAGCAAATGAGTAGGCAACTCGATTCTGGGGCGGCTTGTGGGCCGGTCAAACGACCTCCGTGGACTGCTTCCGGCCCATGGGCCTTAGGTTGCTGACCCCTGAACTACAGTGTGCGATCTGACAAGTATGGGAAGGAAGAGGCTGGGTTGTGGGGGCAGGTCAACATCATCTTCCTTGGATGGACATTCACTAACAGATTTCCTACCCCTCCACCCATATACATGCCTGTATTCTGAAAGGTTGTTCAGGGTTTGATTAGCAAACCTAAGGACCAGGGTAAGAAACTCGGTAAGAGGAATTGAATTGTAAGTGGTGCCTGACGTTCTCAAGTTTCCGATGCTTCCAAAGCAGTCACCTAAGATACTGCTTGTGGAAAAGATCCATTTACCTTCTGTGGACCCTTTTATTTCTTTCTTAGTGACCACCCACTTTTTGTGGGGAAGGGCCATGCAATTGTAAATGTCAGAGAGAAGCTTGCATGAACTTACCACTCACTTATTTGTACCACCAGCCCTCCTGCCACATGCTTACAAGTTGCACCCCCTAAAACATAGTTATGCACTGTTGTCATGGTAACCAGTTTTTTAAAATGCTAATCTTACTTTGGTTGGTAATGCAGTTCTGCTAGGGATATCGGGCACAATTAAAATAAAATAAAATAAAATAAAATAAAATAAAGGCGAGTGCTTACTTTTATTCCTCGACCCATTCAAATGTTTGAATAGCTTATGAATGGTCTGAATTTTATGAGGTGTTTGAAGTGCAGGTTTTGTGTGCATGTAATACACAAGTTGGGAAGGTAAGTGTGCAAATTCTACTTCCCAATTTATGTATTTTGTAATGAAGAACCCACCACCAACACCCACCCTCACCCTCTTGAGCCACACTTCAGACACTAAGGAGTGCACGTGATATTTCTGCAAAGATAATCTCAAAGGAGAAGTGGGAGGAAGCAATGTTTAAAATGGATCCAAAGTTTCTTTTCTGTTGCAAGTTATTTAATTTAGCACCACAGCCTGCAATCTTGCAGCTCCCTTCTGGTATAACCCTTTTTCTTAAAGGTGTCTGGACAGTGACAGTGATGTATAAATGCCAAGGAAAGCTGTTCTTTTATTTCCACACTTGCATCAATATGATGCCAGCTCAAATAAGGACAGGGAGTCCAAATTGTTAAGCTACTGCTGCACGGAAGGGGACGACTTCTCCTTCTAGTGTTGCAGCACCATATGTTTGGATGACCCTAGTGCACACATGTTCCCATAGTCCAGGGCCCACTGGTAAATTCCAGGTAGTGGGATTCTAATTTAGCAAAACATCCAAATCTTTGAAAACGTGGTGAGGTTTTTAGGACTAAATTACTGCACTAAGTGCCAAGACCTCAGCACCACAAAGGGTCTTACATATAACATAGATATGGAACCTGATTTCTGCTCCACGTTGTCAAGTCCTCGGGGACAGAGATGACAATCTGTGGTGGAACCTTTGATATGATGCATCTTTAGGTCAAGGGAGGAGTTTGTCGTAGAGGAGAGTGTGGACCACTGCTTAGCTTGAATGGACCATTCCAACTCCCTGTTCAGTACTCATGGAGGTATGATATCTGTCTGTGAATCACCAATACAAGCAGGCACTGTGGCAGAACAATTAATATGCCACTGAGAACCCCCCCCCCCAATAAAATAGAACAAAACAGAGCCCTTTTAATTTTAACGCCCCAGTAATATTGTTAATCTCTTATGCAGCATGTTAAAAACCCCTGGAATCATCATCCTTTCCAAGAAGAAGACCCCAGAACGCCTCTCCCTCTGTGTGTGTATCCAATTAGCAAACTGAGCCTGGCACCCAGAATCTCCTTAATTGACAATAGAGCAAGCACAGCTATCGAAGTTTTATCACCCACTAGTGTATGCAGACCCATAAAAAATTGCAGTCCCTTAAACGGGGGCCAAGGCACAGTAGGCTTGGTTGGAGGGATTCAAGGAGGGGGCAAGGGTCACAGGTCAGGACCTTTCTACAGGATGAACAGAAGCGGCTTTGACTCGTTAGTGAAATGACCGTAATGGATGATGGGCTTAAAAAACAAGGTCTCTTGGGAGGGTAGAGAAGGCAAGAAACATAGAATCCCAAAGTGCCAGTATTTTAAGAAACAACCCCCCCCCCTTTGCCCCCTTTCTTTTTCCATAAACAATGCTGATGTTCCAAGATTCACATGCATATGTGGTGTTGTGGACAGACAGAGTGTAGGGTTTGTAGTGTTCATGATTAACCACAAATAATTATTTTTTCCGCTTAAAATGACCCCAAGGCAGCTTTATAGAGAAAAAATAGGCTCAAGTCACTCTGTCAACCCCAGAACAAATTGAGGGCCATTTCACATGATCATCTTTGAAGTAGAAGCAGGGAGCATTTTCCTTTGGGTATTCACATGTTAAAACAGTCCTGTGAAATGACCCCTTGTGATAAAACTGCTAGCCTGGGGTGAGGGTGGAAAAAGGCTTGAGGGAAGGTTTTGTGTGTGTTTCTTTTTCTTTTAAATAATGTGTAATAACTTTTGTGTTATGAATACAGTTTTGCACTTTCTTTTTAAAATAAACTTTTACTTTCTCTGTGAATAAACAAAATATTGTGCTGATCACCTCAATAATTGTTGACTTGAATTTACCCTGCTCTTTTCTGAGTTAGTATGAAGAACAATACATGCACATATTATAGGTTCCATAGAATCTTTGGTCTGCCACAGCCTAAGATGCAGGGAAAGAATGTTGGATAGGAATAGCAAAAAAGTGTAAGAGGGTTGTGCGTTTTTTCTAGCCGCTAATGCTGGAAATCCTGTTGCTAGTCAGCTAAAATACCTAGACCACAGAGAGCTAGTCACATGTGAGTGTTTTATTACCATAGAATTAGCTACCTTTTAAAAAAATTAAATAGGCACTGCACTCCTTCTCTCTTTTTAATTTGTTCAAAGCCATACAAGGCCTTTTCAGCTTACCCGCTAAGTGTACATTTTGCTGTGCGTACCACAGCTGCCTGGTCATAGAAGGGAACCTTGAGAAAGGAGACTGTGTAGAGTTCTTTTCAAGGTTGCTTAATGATGTATTTCAAATACTAATGTGAAAAGGTGGTGGTGGGGAAAGTGAGAATGAACAGCACTTAGGATGGGCCACCCACCCCCATATGGTTGGGGAGAGGAGAATCGGTAAAAAGTGAGGTTTCAAATGCCACCCACAGCTGAGTCTCTCTGACCCCGGAAGGAAATGTATAACACCTTCTTCTCCTTATTCTCTATCTCTGTGTCTGTTTTGTTTTTGTTTTTTGCCTGTAGCTGTTTCATTGTGGAGGAGGGAGGTAAAGTAGAAGTGAATTTAGAGAACCTGTGCCCTTTCCCATGAGAATGGTATTACAGTATAAGAAGCAGGAGAGGAGGAAGCGGGGGGAGGGGGAGAGGGAGGGAGAATAAATATGAATGATAAGAGATGGGTTGGAAGTGTTGCCTGATGAGCAGCACCCTTTCAGGTTTCTCTATCTCTCTGAGCTTGCATTAATTTTTAATCACTTCCTCCAGTTGGTATGTAACAATCATCTTTAGGTTGACTTTGTGCACTGGCTCCTGCATTTGCTGGGTTGTTGTTTTTTTTGCCTGCAAGCTGAGTAGGGCTGGGTCTCTAAAATTAAAATGTGATGAGACATGACCTTAACTTTTGGGTGAGATCCTGGCCTTGTGACACCAGTGTAAAATCAGATACCTTTTGCTTGGCTGGTCTCTCCCCAACCCCCCTACCCCCCTTCACAAAACACCAGCTCCAGCCTCCTTGTGCTTCTAAGATTAATTTTCACATCTGGGCTGCAGATGCAAAGGCGAGGATCCGTTGTGGATAATTATGGAGTTGACGTCCTCTTCTCAAGCAGCTGCTGGCATTTTTATACATGCCGTGTCTGTTGCAGTTTCACCCGTAGGTTTAGGGGATTTGATTTGTACATCATCTCTTTAGTCACATAAATATTTGGGAGGATGTGTAATGTACCTAGCCTCTGTTTTTGTTTTTGCACCATCTAGTCCAGCATGGATCAGGCCAAAAGCCCATGTAATCCAGCATTCTGCTGTCACAGTGGCCAATCAGATTCCCCAATAGAAGCCTTCAAACAGGACCTGAGTGTGACATCGCTCTCCCTACTTGTGACTCTTAGCAACTGGCATTCAGAGGCATACTGCCTCTGACAGTGGAGGTAGCACACACAATCTTGGCTAGTAGCCATTGATAGCCTTATTCCCTGTTAAATTGCCTAATAGCCATTCAAGTCGGTGGACATCACTACGTTTTCTCGTAGCAAATTCCATGCTTTAATGATGCAGTGTGTGGAAGTACTTCCTCTTTTCTACCCTGATTCTCCCACCATTCAGTTTAGCTGGATTTCCCCCATTGTTTGTTAGCAGGGAGAAACAAAACAGCCCAGATTGGTTTGTTCACAGTAAACCATTAACTACAGTTTATAGCAGTGGTGTCCAAACTGTTTTCAAAGAGGGCCAGATTGGATGAAGTGAAGGGCCAACCAAAGTTGTTGAGCTTTTTGGGGGGATTGAAGTTGTTGAGATCTTTTTAGGATTTTACCCCAGGAAATAAACTGCCACAGGGGCCGGATTAAACCGACCGGCAGGCCGGATTAGGCCCCCAACATGGACTTTGGACATGCCTGGTTTATAGTGACGTGGGAATTAGGCCACTGTCAAAACAAACTCCTTGCTGCCTTTAGAAATGCAACTGTGCTTGTGTTTAAACTGCCAGGTGTCCTGCAAGGTTGAATTTAGGATAGTTTTTATGATTCAGGGATGTTGGCTGGCAAATGTAGGGAAACCACTTGATCTGTCAGAATAACAAGGGCACCTTCGAAGAGTAAGGGCCCCTACAGACATCCCTTTTTATTGTGCATTCATAATGACTTGTTCTCATCATGATGGTATTGGTTTGATTAGACATGATCCCCATTTTGAATACTGTTTTGCGTCTGCAGAAGTTTCAGGGCGGATGTACTTTGTATCCAATCACTTCATGTCCTGTAACTTCCTGCTGAAATCCTGTAACTTTTCAAACTGCATATGTTCCAGGGTTTTTGTTGTTTGTTTCTGCCCCGGTCTCTCTCTGTACTGCAAAAGGGCCCTTCTGGGTGGCAGTAATGCTATGACACTGGGGGGAAGCATTGCTGAACAACTAATAAAGCATAATGAAAATCCATTATAAATCCATTGCTAATGTGTCAGTGACATTTTGGAGAATAAGCCCCCCCCAAAAAAATAATAATTCTAGAGGGACCCTAACAGATTTATTTGGGCAGTACTTTTTGTAGACTTGAGTCCTCTTCTAGCATCTGCTGAAGTGGACTCTAGTCTGTGAAATCTTATGCCCTAAGAAATTTGTTGGTGCCCCAAGGCTCTCTTGTTGCTGCAACAGGCTCCTATGACTATCCCTTTCACAGATGGATGTACGTTCACTGCTAGGAGATTATTTAATGACAGGTGGCAACACTCAGGCTACTTCCAGTGGCTATAGTAGTGAGTGAGTGTGAGAAGAGGGGCTGCATAGTCATATTCAGAGTAGTACTCATTGAAATTAATGGACATGACAAGCTTAGGCTCGTTATTTTTAATTGATCTACTTTGAGTAGGACTTAGTTGTTTACAACCCTAGTTACTGATTTATAAGTGGTTTTTTTAAACAGCGTATAGGATTAAAAGGGAGTGGGGAAGGTCTGATATGTGGTGTTTGCCTTTCTCAGTAGATAGTTGAGGAAAACCACACATGCCGAATTAAAAAAAAATGCAGCAGAGTGCAGGTTTTTGCCATGTGCACGCGCCTTTTCTAGATAAATGTCTTCCTGTGACTTTAAGAATGTCTGCAAAATGAGTCAGCTCAGCTACAGGAGGCGTCAGACAGGCCAGGCAGACTGAGGGAGATGGGTGGGGGAGGGTGATGGCGAGGGAGGAGGTGGAGGGAGTGCGCTCAGAGGACAGAACAGCCACAGTCTGGGCTCTCAGCCTCCTGGCTAGACTGTAGAAACTTCTAATGGAGCTCCTGAGCTCAGCTCTCCACCCTCCCCTTCCTAAAGCTTGGCTGGAGGGGAGGGGAGGGGGGAACCTGGCTGGCTTTTTTGTCATGCTCTTCCACTGCACAGTGACCTTGCCTGCAAATAGCACACAGGAATTCAGAAGGGGCGTCTTACACTTGGAGTATTGGTACAGGCAGAAAATGAGTGTATACATGAATGAATGAATAAATATATAAATAAATAAATCAGAGTAGCAATCTCATTCTGTTGCAACCCAGTTTTTCGTTCTGTGCTGAAAAACATGGCTTGGTGTGCTGTTTTAATATAAATCAGAGAGAGCTTATTCTGCCCCCCCCCCCCACTTTCATTTCATCTGATTGCTTCTGTTGCAGTCTCCAAACATTTTCATCAAGGTAGTAGGCAAGTGGGTATATTTTTTTTAGGAAGGTGCCCCTTTTGGGGGTAGGGGTGAACTATGTGGATAAACAAGGAAGAAATTATCCAGTTACTCTGAACTGTGTCTGTATCAATGTGGCATAAGGAAATTAGTGATCACTTTGTGTGTAAAGTGTTCACATAAAGCAGAATTTAGACATTGAATATTAAAAGGTGGACAGGTTGAAAATGTACATAGTGTGAAATGAGGAAATTAGAGATTTTTAAGTGTTTTTACATAAACACTTAAGCAAAATTTTTAGTCTTAAAATATATGCATAGGGGACAAGTAGATATGGTTTTACGTTTTCTGCTTTAAAATATTTTAAATTTTCCCCTCCCTGGACAAGTTTTTAAAAATAATGATTTGACCTATTGCATTACAGGATTTCCTAACTTTTTAATTTAATTTAATTTAATTTTTAAAGAGTACTTCACTCTGAGTTCAGGGTTACATTGGAGTTCCATTTCTGAAATATTTTCACCCCTTTAAAATAACCTTTTCACAATAAACACTGTCCAGACATTATGCCCAAACAGGAAATATCATCTAGTGTTGGGGCATTGTGGCCGTATTTACCAGCCCTGACTTCTCTGATGTTGACCTTCTCATTCTCAGCAAGGAGACTGAAAGGGGATTATCATCATTCACTTGAATGCGAGTAGAAGCCTCTCTGCAATTGGTAACCCTGATGAAACAGGTTTCTTCATACCACAGAGGCCTCTACACATATTCAAATGAACACAGACCTTCCCTGCTCAACACATGATGATGTTATTATTTGATCACCTTTTATACATCTCAAAATGATTTACAAAGGTATTATAAACAGCCAAAAATAGCTTTAAAAACAACTGAATATATATTTTTAAAAACAATACAAAGTGAACACCCAAGACAAAGACCCTTTCATCCAACTGGAAAACTTGTGCAAACAAAAAAGTCTTCAGTTGTTTGCAGAAGTGCAGATAAGTAGGTGCCTGTCATGCTGTTGCGCCAAACAGGGGTGCTCTAAATTACTGTGGAGTGAGCTTCTGATACTTTTGGACTTGAAAGAGAAACTCCCGCATAACACAGTGACCTTCTGGGTATATAAGGGATAAGGTGGTCTCTCAGGTAACCTGGTCCTGAGTTGTATAGGGCTTTATTTGTTAGTACCAAAACCTTGAACTTGGCCCCAACATAGGTTGAGATTTCCTTTTTCAGGCATAACACCTGAACACACTTCTGTCAGATGACTCAAATAGCTACGGGGAGGGAGTAAACGTCGGTGTTATTGACTGTTCATCTCCTGCTTTCTTGCTGATTTTACAAACAAATTGGCTTCTTGTTACTGAATCCTGAAGTTAACCTTTAGCCAGTATATTAAAAGGACAGATTCACAGAAGCAGGTTGTTCCACCTGCTTTCTTTCACTACCCTTTATTGTGTAATCTGTGACTGTGCCAGATGCTTCTTCAGACGTATATTAGAAATGTGTAATGTGTAAGAAAGGGAAAATTGATTATGCAGAAGTGGCTTTAATTAAAACTTGTTTTTCACGTCTGCTCTCCTTTGTTTATGTCTGTGTGGCAAGGCAACGCCACTCCCTGTAGTGGGAACTTCTTGGAGAAGTTCAGCTGCTGGTGCAATCAAAGGTAATTTTGTTTGTGCAAGATATTTATCTCTGAAGCAATGGCCAAGAATAGGGGTTAAGGAGAGGACAGGAGGCAGAAAGCACAGTGCCTCCACCTGACTGTCAATCCTTATAACTTTTTAATGGCTTCCTAATGGAGTCCCATGCCATTCTGTCTTGAGGTTTCCTGAAGTACATTGGTTACTACAGTTCTACAGTGACTTAAGGAATGAATGACAGCAAGCACTGATCCAAATAGTTGATGCATCAATTTGAGCATTTACCAACTAGTAGCTGCCTAATTCAGCATCCCCTCACTTGTTTCTGTATGTGTTTCAGTTGGGCATCAAAGCATATTCTACCCAAAGTGCAATTCTTCTGGGGGAGACTGGGACAATGTCCCAATTTGGGGATAGTGGTTTAGGTAATTAGAACTGTTCCCACATTACATTGGTAAAAGAAGTAACCCAACTCTATGAGTTATTGAGTGGCGTTCATACATCTTGTTGTTGGAAGCTAATGAGATGCAATCTTGCAAGAATTTACCCTTGGCTACTAGGGGACTCTTGAGAGTGGCTAGGCTTTTGCAACACATGCCGAGTCGTTCAAGGCAACTGCTTATGATGGATTTAAAAATAATAATTGTAATTGATAGTGACAAAAATTACTGTTTCCAGGATAGCCCCAGTGTGAGATGTTAGCCACTCCAGGTCTACACTGACTGGACAGTGGCTCTCCAGGAGTCCTTCCAGCTGTACCTGAGGTTCTAGAGAATGAACATGACACTATTTGCATGCAGACTCTGCCACTGAATTATGGATTTCCTACCAACACTAGAGTTGTTTCAGTGAAGAATGTGCCAGTTTTCAAGGAAGGCAGCTCAGTTTTAGCTTTCAGGTGCAGACTGTGACAACATAACCAAATTTTGTTGGTTTGGGCAATTCATGACACCCTTGAGTTGATAATTGAGGTTTCATTTTGTTTTGGGCAAAGCCGTAAATAAATACTAGGCAAATAACAGTTGGGAATGTCACCACCTAAAACATTTGGGACAAACATTTCTGCTCTTTCTCTGGGTTCTCGAGACTGCTTGGTAAATGCCAACCAGCAATATAGGAAGCCGCCTTATGTAGAGTCATGCCACTGGTCTATCTAGCTTTATATTGTCTACACTAGGAGCAGCTCTCCAGGGTTTCAGACTCAGAGGATATTCCCAGCACCACCCGGAGATGCCAGGGATTGAACCTAGGACCTTCTGCATGCAAAGTGGGTGCTCTAACCACTGAGCTACGACCCTTCCCTTAAGACATAGGAAGCTGCCTTATATTGAATCTGTCTAGCTCAGTATTGTCTGCATGCCAAGGTTCCATGAAGGAGTCTCTCCTGGCCCTACCTGGAGATGACAGGGATTGAACTTGGGACCTTCTGCATGTGAAGCATGCTCTATTGCTGAGCTATGGCACTTTCCCACCTGGGTAATGTTGTTTCAGCCTCACCAGGGAAATTTGAGAGGGCTTAGGACCTGTAATTTTTTTTGTGCGTGCAACAGATTCTCTTCTTGATTACCTCTTTTTGTTTCTCTTTAAATGCCCATTACCAAAATACTTTTACAATGAATTTTTTGTCTTTTCTTCTAACCCCAATGGGTCATAGTGACTTTAAAACTGCTAGAAGTATATCCTAGTCAGTTCTGTCTAGACTATTTTTTGTCTTTTCTTCTAACCCCAATGGGTCATAGTGACTTTAAAACTGCTAGAAGTATATCCTAGTCAGTTCCGTCTAGACTATTTCATTATCTAATCTGATAATCACAACAAGGTGGAATGTCTGTGGAACTTTGTATCTCATTTTTACAGTTTCATAATTAACACTTCAAGATCACTGTCAAAGTACACCACCTATCTATATCCCTCATTGCAGCTACTTTGTGAGGTGGGTTCTTGTGCCCATTTTACATATGAGAAACTGAGCTTTACTTTAATGGTAATCTAAGACCACAGGCATGACTTTCAGGTGTGACTTTTACACCCCCAATGTACAGCCTCTTACCTTTAACTTGCTCACTTATTAATTACTGAAACTAAGCTATATTAGTAATCCAAATAATTTTGTAATGGTATAGAAATGCAAAAGGAATGCCACATGTCAGAATGAATGCCACATGTATATTTGGAAAAAGTAACCCTGGATGGTTAATTCCAGTCAAAGGCGACTATGGCGTGCGGTGCTCATCTCGCTTCAGGCCGAGGGAGCCGGCATTTGTCCACAGACAGCTTTCCGGGTCATGTGGCCTGCATGACTAAACTGCTTCTGGCGCAACAGAACACCATGACAGAAGCCAGAGCACACGGAAACACTGTTTACCTTCCTGCCACAGCGGTACCTATTTATCTACTTGCATTAGTGTGCTTTCGAACTGCTAGGTTGGCAGAAACTGGGACAGAGCAATGGGAGCTCACCACTGTCACGCAGATTCGAACCGCCGATCTTCTGAATGTGGCTATACCAAGTTCAGTGAAATCTGTGTTTATTTCCTAAGGTCCCTAGTGGTGCTGTCTATAACACCACAGGTTCTTTTAGAGATTTTAACACCAGCCCAAGCTAGGATGGGTCTAGCAGGGTGCAATAATCTATTCTTTTAAACCCACACACCCATGAATTTAGTGTAGGGCAGGGTGGAAAGAGGCAAGAGAGGGTACCAACGCAGGTTAAAGATCTTGGCACGTGTGGAATGCAGGGGTTATCTGACCCCCTGCAAAACCTCTGTGCAAATGAACTCTTAGACTAACCTTGGAGAATTTATGAACCGATATCTGTGAATAGCGGTATCTGAAAAGCAATTTTGTCGTGATAAATGAGGGGCGGGTGCACAACCAGGTCTGGGTGGAATCGCTCAGTGATGACAAAGCCTGGAAAGATTTATTTAGGCAAGTTGCAGTGATGATTTACTATGATAATGGTCATCTACACATTCAGAATGCGTTCTCTTATGCATGCTGAGGAATTTGGGTGTACAGTAGACGATTCCTTCCCTCACTACAATTTAATTCAGAAATATTTGCCTTTGTGGGGGCGGGGAGAAGGGAAGGTCTCCCACCTTGTCAGCTTGCTTTTCAACTCCCTGTATGTACATATCCACCAGAAGGAAGGGAAATGGTAAAGGGAGTAAATTATTAGATCTGTGGAAAACTGTACCAGTTTCAAATGAAAAATGGCACATCGTTCACTCTAGGAACAGCCAAGCATCCTCTACTTGAATTTGGGCCATTTAAAAAATGTTTTGGGAAGAGGGAGTGGAAGAAGCAGAGAGGCCTGATGATTATATGCAGATTTCTTTTCTGAGCCTAGTTTTATTTTAGAAAGTTTTCAAGTATTATCAAAGTTGATTAAGAAATGTGCCTTGTTTTCCTTAAAAATAGGAGTCCATCTAATCTATATACCTACCTATCAGGCTGTCTTGCCAGCCAGCCATCAGCATCTCTTTATGAGTAACAAGCTATCATCTTCCACAGTTGTTACCTTTTTGACAATACCATTTCCTTGAGAGGGCATCTAAAAGAAGCTGTGCTGAGTACTCGCTTACAAAAGGTTATATTGAACCAAGTCTCCTTAAGTGACATAATGAATATGAATACTGGGAGTAGGAAGCGTGCAAACAGTCGTGTTTCGCAGAATCCTTGCTCAGTTCAAATGGAAAGATGGCAGGACCTGAGGGTTGTGAATGTATAGATCAAGCTACCTAACATGGGAATCAACCTTATACCAGGTTAGATATATGGATGTTAAACAGCTTAGAGGACAGTGTGGTGCCCTGTAGCGCTTCACAGCATAACTTCCATGAGACTTTCATGGTCCTATTTTCTGGAACCAACTCTGCAAGTAAAAGGGGAACCACCATAGCATTGTTCCTCCAACTCCCAACTCACAGAGATATGCCATTAAGGTACAGTTACTCCCAAAAGGTCTTCCTCAAAGGGCCATACCTCTGTGGTATAGTTCACAGAGTAAGGGGCATTAGAAAATTCTGGTGGCAAAATCTGTCCCTTTTCAATTCATAGTAGGGAGTTTTTTTATTCTGTTTTGCTGAAAACAATCGTGCCTCCTCCAGTTTCCGTGCCACCCAGTTCAGAAAAATCCAGCATAAAGGGAAAGAAGATTCCTTAAACAGCAGTTCATGACCTTCCTTTTCTGTTTTTAGCTAACTACAGGTGCTTTTCATTGCTGAAAAGTATACAGTGGTACCTCAGGTTAAGAACTTAATTCGTTCTGGAGGTCCGTTCTTAACCTGAAACTGTTCTTAACCTGAGGTACCGCTTTAGCTAATGGGGCCTCCTGCCGCCGCCGCACGATTTCTGTTATCATCCTGAAGCAAAGTTCTTAACCCGAGGTACTATTTCTGGGTTAGCGGAGTCTGTAACCTGAAGCGTCTGTAACCCGAGGTACCACTGTACGGAGAAAGCAAAAGTTGCCTCTGTGCTTGCAGTTGTGTCTGGCCCTGTTGTAGGATGGACCACCCCAGGACTCATCCAACTTTAGAATGTATCTGATCCAGATACTCATATTGTGGAACAGCATCTGATTTGGTGTAAAGCTGCCCATCTAGCCTAGTATGGTCTATTCTGACAGGCAGCAGCTCTCAGGGATCTCAGTGAGAGAAGGATCTTTCTGTACGCTTCTGCAGGTGCCAGGGATTGAACCTGAGATGCATAGCAGGGGCACTTCTCGCTGAGCTATGCAGAGTGCTAATTGTGTCAGTTAATTGTATGCTTGGATGATTGTCGATTTTTTGAGCATGTAGCTCAGAGAAGGAAAAAAGATAAGCCTTGTAACTCAGTCACAGGCAGGGATTTTACTTTTTTCCTACCTTTTCTTGATCACATCAACCCCGACTTCTCAGAATCTGGGCATTAGAACCCTGATGAGAGTGAAAGAAGAATATTCTAAGCCTCAGACAAGCAGTGGCACGTACCATCTGCCCAGAGGGACCTATCCTTTGCTTCCCTTCCCATCTGCTGTCTCCGAAAAGCACTAATGGTTCTCAGACTTCAGTGAACAAAGAAGGGAATAATATCTTGGCAGCCCTGACCTTGTTTTTCTTAGCGTGCTTTTCTCTCTTCCCCCAACACTGAGTTAGAGCGCTGGAAAATCGGGAAGACCAGAATAACTTAACCTGTCTTTCATGTTCAGATAGTTTCAGAGTTGGACTCCAAACCAGGGTTCAGATCTCCCACTCCGCCTTGAAGCCTAACCTATTTTGCAGCACAATTGTGAGGATAAATTAGAGGGTAGCAGAGAGGAGCTCCTTGGAAGAATGTAATGCAGTGCATCATAAATGTAACAAATAAAAGAGAAATAGCGCAAAACCACAGGGGTCGTTGCAGAATGACACTGAACACTATAACTGGGCATTTGAGAGTAGTGCTAATATCTGGGTGGTTGTGGAAGTGATCTCTGCCCAGATGCCATGGCATGGCTATGAGTCTTAACCTCAGCTGCAGCTTCTCTTGCCCTCTTCTTGCCCGTTTCCACATGTTTCTGTGTGCCTTGTATTTTGGATATTTTGCTCTCTTTGTGAAAGGCTTTTGGAAGCAAAGGGGTACAACTTTCACAGAAAGGAAGGTGGTGCAGGGAGTGGGGGACCAAGCAAGGATAAATCCATATGGTTTTTGGTCAGTCATGGTGGAATACTTCTGTGTTAATCGTAGCTCTTTTGGTTTTCTGTAAATGTAGATCTCCTCCCCACTCCCCATCCCCCAGCACTTTGGGGAGGTGGGTGGGTGGGGGGTTGTGCCTCTACCTTAATTGTCTCTTGATGAGAAAACCAAGTGGCTCAGCACCTCCAGGCTTTTTGCCACATTCTAGATCCTTCTCTGTACTTTTCTTCCTCTCCCCCCCTTCCCTCTTCAGTGTTTGTGGAGCTGGAGACTGGCAAAGGTTTGCTGTTTTGTCGGTTTCTATGGAGCAGAGAAAACATAAGTCAGCCAGGCCTAGAATATTTTTTTTTTAATGAAGGCAGAGAAAAGGGGGGTGGAGAAATATGATCCCACTGTACTCTACAGCCCAAATGTGGATTCCTTCTTCTTCAATTGAAGGGAAAAGCATTTCCCTGTCTTTTCTCTCTCCCACACCCTTGCAGATAGAGTTGCCCAGTCCAGATGCTGAAAGTAATTTAGAAGGTGTTGTTGTTGTTGTTTTTAAAAAAAAGCTCAAAGGAGAAATTCCACAAGAGGTAGCTTCCTTCTCCATAGCACCACTGTGATGGTGGGTAGGGACCCACACAGCTGGTGAAACTGT